TATGATAACCATTGATGACCACTGATAATACCCGAAGGTTTCACACATCATCACCGCAATTGTGACCACAAGTTGTTGTTGTTGTAGTTATTTGTTTTTTTATTGTTGAAGACGGCATATCACACACACACCAACCAACCAACACACCCGTCAGCCACACACAACACACCCCGAAAGACACGGCCAATCAAAGTTGATAGCACACGACGGCAGCAACGGCGGCGGCGATGCGTGAATACAAAGTAGTAGTACTCGGTTCGGGCGGTGTCGGCAAATCGGCACTGACCGTCCAATTTGTTTCCAATACGTTTATGGAAAAATACGATCCGACTATCGAAGACTTTTACCGCAAGGAAATTGAAGTCGATGGCGGCCCGTGTGTACTGGAAATACTGGACACCGCCGGTACCGAACAGTTTGCATCGATGCGCGATCTCTATATCAAGAATGGCCAGGGATTTGTTGTCGTCTATTCATTAACCAATCATCAGACATTTCAGGACGTGAAGAACATGAAGGAACAGATTGTTCGGGTCAAGGGTACCGATCGGGTACCCATTATACTAGTTGGCAACAAATTGGATATTGAACACCAACGCGAAGTGACCACATCGGAAGGTATAGCCCTCGCCCAGGTCTGGTCAGTGCCTTTTATCGAGGCTTCGGCCAAAAGTCGGATCAATGTTAACGAAGTGTTTGCTGAAATTGTCCGCGAAATGAGCTATAATTCGGTTAAAGACAAACCAAACTATTGTTGTCACGGCTGTCGTCCCGTTTGTAATATACTCTGATTTTTTTTGTTGTTGTTGTTGCCTTTAATTGTTAATAATTATTATTATTATTATTAATAATTATTAATAATTAATTTAATTAATTAACTGATATTTTCATCGGCCATTCAATTATCATCCGTCACTCGCCAATCATCATCATCATTGTCTCCCCCCAAGAGATCACCATTTAATTGAATCCAATCAATCAATCAAATCAAACAATCATTTTTTTTTTAAATAACTGTTTTTATTTTGTATTATTGATGATATTATTAGACATTTTAATAATTAATGAATTATAATTAATTGATAGCCTTTACTGTGGTTTAGAGTGCATATATACAGCCCATTATTATTATAATTATAATAATAATTATTATTTAGTATTATTATTATTATTAGGACTAATTAACAAAAAAAAAGTGATTTAAAATAGTTGAATAATATTTTTTTTTCAGTGTCTCTACTGTTTATTACAAGTTTATTACCAATATTTTTGTTGTATTGTATACTAAGTTATTATTATTATACTGTATTTGTTGGTTTCAAACCAATTTATTTTTTTGTTTAAATAATTTTCTGTCATTTAATGATAGATTTTATCACTTAATATATAGTAGTCTCTCAATCAATCGTGTTATAAAAAGTAATAATAATTATTATTAATTTATTATTATTGCAAATCTTTAATGAAAATTATTATAATATTTTATATTTTAATAATTATTGCAAATCTTGAATGAAAATTATTAGAGATATACTGTAAATATATATATATATATAACTGTAGTGTTATTTTTCATTCACGCTCTCAATCATGTTGTATACAATGTGTAGTATCCAAGTAATCAAAATAATAATTATTTTTTATTAATAATAATAATAATAATAAGTTATATAACTATTTAATTAATTGAAAACAAAATAAATCTTATCATTAGTTTATCTCTACCTAAATAAATATATTTTATATATAATGTAATGAGCATTATATGCACTCTAAACCCATAGAAAAAGTAAAGATAGGAATCGTTTTTTATTTAATATATATATATATATATATACATAAAAAATGAAATGTTTTTCATTATAAAAAAAACTATACAAAGTATATATTGAATATATATTATATATTTTTTAAACACAACTCATTGAACATTAAATTTTTATTATTGATAAATTTTACATATAAGGAATTTTATAATATTTTGAATTAATATATATATATATAAATATATATTTAAAATAAATATATAGTAAATAAAAAATCCATTTTAAATGTTTATTTGAGTTGAAATTTTTTGTTATCAATATTTTTTTAATGTTTGTTTTATCGCTGGCAAACATTTTCATTTAAACTGAGGAGGCTATTGAATGGATAAAAAAAAATACGGGTATTTTTATTATACAATTTACGTTTTATATAATGAAATATATATTTTCCAAAAGGGTTTTTACATTTCAATAGTTTTCAACAGTAATCAAAATAAATGGCTAATAATAATAATAATAAATAGGGTTTTAAATGGCAACTATTTACTGGACAATACAATAATTGTGATACAATATAGTCTATTAATTTATTTTGTTGTTGTTAGCTATCGTATCTAATCGTATACATAATATAAGCACCAAATACTGTATATATATATATATATATATATATATATAATATATATATATATATATATTTAGCAATAGACAGCTAACTTCATTCATATCAATTATTTAGTAGACAAAAACCACACATTAAATGGTAATATATTTTATTTTTAATGGGAATGTCCTTAAAATATATATTAAATACAATACTTCATTAATAAATCATATATAATCAGTTGTCAATAAAGTCAAGTACAGTACACTTTATACTGTACTGTAGTGTTAATAGTATTAATAATAAAAAAATAGCAAATGTATTGTCGGGAGAAGTTAATTAAAAAACAGTTAATTCATTATAATTATTATTATTGTTTTATTTTTATTTTCATTTTATTTTTTTTATTTTTTTAAAAGTAAAAGCTGTTTAAGTACAGTATATTTAATAGTCTACTATTAAAGATTATATATATTTATACTAAATAATAAGTCATTTGTCAATAACTATAATAATAATAGAAAGAGAGAGAGAGAGAGAAAGAAAGAAAGAGAGAGAGAGAAAGAGAGAGAACGGATTTCCATATAATAGCTATTTATTTAATTTATATATAATTATTATAACAAAATTTATTATATATATATGAGAAAGAAAGAGAGAGAGAGAGAGAGCTAAAAATTATAATTAATGTGTATTTGATTGGTACAACAATTTATAAATATTTTTTTTTTTTATAAACAATTTATCGATCCTATTGTGTTTGTATTATAAAATTATTATTATTATTATTAAAATTTGTTATTGCATTAGCATTTCAATGCAAAAAAAAGTTATAATTGTCTGCACCGATAATAAGTTTTTTAAAAAAATCAAATTAAATATATATATATAGAGAGAGAGAGACAAAAATATCTTTACTCCTAATAAAAAAATATGTGATAAATTATATATACTTTATTAGTTAGTATATATATATCAATCAGTAAATGTATAGACAGTTTGCAAATGTGAGATAAAACTAACTGTATTTGACTTTTTTAAAAAACTGATTGCAAATGAAGATATTATTAGCGGAAAAAATCACTGTTTATTATTATATACATGTATTTGCATTGCATTAATGGTTTGTAATTTTTATTAAAAAATTTATTTTTTTTTGTGTTAAATTACAACAAAAAACACACACAAACAATGTTTGCCTAACTTAACACATACTTAACAACAATAATATTATATTATATAAGAGGTTATCGCTGGAGGCTTTTGTCACCAATTATTATCATTATTATAGGCATAATGTATAAAATAATTTAGTTTTCCTTTATTTATTTAAATAAATATATACATAATATATACCATATATAAACAACATATATATATATAATCTAATCTATTAAATATATAAAAACCAAATATATATATATATATTAATTATATGACTGTTGAAAATTATTTAATCAAATCAAATATAACATCTACTGTACATTGTATTGTATTGAAGTAATAATTTCAATCACATTTTTGGTCATTTATTATTATTACAGTATTTATATTAATAATTTGATTGTATTAAACATATGACAAATGAGAGCTACATATGATATGACTACTACTACTATCCCCCCCCTCAACTGGGGGTCTCCCTCCTCATCTCATGACATTATCACTAATTACAAAAGGGAAAGGCATTATTGTATTATTATGTAATACCAGTGCTGTGATTATCTCTCTTTTATATTAAGTAAATATATACAGCAGAGAGAGAGAGAGAGAGAGAGAGAGAGAGAGAGAGTAAGTGAGAAATCATATCATTGATAAACATTATCATCCGGGCAAACATCACATCACATCACTGTAATAATAATAATAATAATAATAGCAGTAATATATTATACAAATATAACCCTCTTTTAATAATAATAATAATTTAATGTATTATATTATATCATCAAATTATATGAGATATACTGTATATATATGATATATAAATTTAACTAACAAATCATACAATACCCGGACCTATGGACTATAAAATACAATTGAAAAAGACATACAAATATTTGCATTACTTAATTAAACAATTAAACTAATAATAGTAATAATTATATCAAATAGAGACATAAAAATTTTATTATTATTATTATACAGAGATATTTTTACTTTTATTTTTGTATACATAATCCTATTTTTTTTATTTGAATGCAAACAAACAATCATTTGGTCGCAACACACATCAAATATAATGATTAATAAATAAAAACAAATAAATGGATAATAAATTACCGGTAAATGTAAAAAAACACTTTTATTCTTTAAATAATAATTATAATAATAATAATAGTAATCGTAATAATAATAATAATAAACTTATGATTAAATTATAAAATATATAATTTTTTCCAATTTAGGATCAAAAATAATTATTTAAAAAAAATATTAGTGAAAAATATTTTCTAATAGATACCTTAGATATGATACCTATTTTTAATTTAATAAAAAACAAATTAAAAATCGGACTAATCTTTATATCTATGAGGGTTTGGCCGCCTTTTGCGATGCATTAACTTTATCGCCCAAACTGAGTGCCATTCCCTGCGATTTGGCCCGAATCCTGATATGGCCGGTAACTGGCGAATCGGGTGCCGATTTCTCAATGCTAACATTGGCCAGTGCGTCTTCGCCGAATATAGATTTGGCGTACAAATTGGCGGCCAGAAAACCGCAATCACCCGACAGGGCTTTTTGCGGTGTCAAACATTTCATATTTGTCGCACCAATCAAATGATTCAGATAGTCCTGTAGGTCAGTCAAACCGGTATTGACGGTCACTTTGTTTTCCCATTCAAATTCGGCCCACATTTGCCTAAACTGGGAGTCATTACAGGTGGCGGGTATTATGTAATCCATAATATCGATGTGAATGTCGTTCAAAACTACTACATTACGGTCGGATGTCGAACCAGATATGTCGTACACTTTAATTGGCGATTAAAAAAAATGAGATAATTTTATTTATAGCTAAAGATATACTGTGTGTCAATACAAACCAATATTGCCGAAAATAATTCCGTTCTCAGTTGAGGCCACTTTGACCGATGCTTTGATGTTTGCAAAGTCGTGTGGCGCCAATACCAGCGGTTGCGGCTTCTCTACCAACTTAAGGTCGCCCAACGTTGTGAACTCTAGGGTACAGTTTTGCAGGGTATCGGAACTCTGGTTAACAATCAGGACATCCAGACAAATGTCATACTGGTTGACATTGACATAGCATTCGGCATAGACTGGATCGCTGAATCCGGTCAGTTGCGTTACTTTAGACAATTTGCTGGCCGATATCAAGTCGGCCACATTGACACCCTTTTGGCCGCCGCCGCCCAACGTTGTGGTAGCTGTTGGACCAACATTACCGGCAATGGCCTGCGATAGACTGACGTCGAACTGGTTTTCCATTGATTCGACATTCTTGGACATCAACTGAGTGAATGCCAAGTGATCATCGCTTTCGACATTTCGATTTTTCTTCGTTTTCTGGTGTTTTGATTCTTCCAGATCGGCTTTATTGCTCTGAAGCATACTGTCCAACGAAGAACGCATCTCAGCCAAGAATATTTTGCTAAGAAGTTCAGCCATTTCGGCGTTAATACCATTTTCTGAGCAAATATTTGTCAGAATCATCAGACAGAAAGCAATTCGTTCGAAGTCGTCATCGTTGATGGTTTGGCTAATCAGTTTCGATTTACCCAAATGAAGAATCGATGTCAATATAAGCATCGATTGGGCCAGAAATCGGTTACTTTGTTTACCAGAGCCGACCACTTGTTTGTAACGAAATGCCAATTTAACCAAACAGTTAGCCAAAGCGGTACCAATAAAAAACTCTCCGTTCAACAGATACTGTCTCAGTGGTGGAATGTTAGCCGTCTTTTCTACTTTAGTGTTGACACTCAGTGCCGATTGTGTTGCATACGAACCGTCGGCAGTGACCAGTTTAGCCGCATTCGGTTGACTATTGGTATTAGTAGTCACCGATGTTTCATCATTTTCGGTACCATTTTCCAACTTTTTCAACTCGGACTCGACAATCGGTATGTCGCCAATGGTGGCCAGTATAGCGGTCAGTGCTTCTTGTATCTGGTTTTCATTGTCGTCGCAAAATTCGCCCAAAATCCAGATCAATCCGCGATGAACTTTACCATTGCGAATGACGGGAAACACTTCCAAAATTTTGCTAATTATCAGATTCTTTTGATTCAAATTTTTCTGAATGTATTCGCGGGTAAAGTTAATCACCAGAATAGCGGTACTTTCGTCGTCCGAATTGGTCAACAGTTCGAACAGTGTGGACAACAGTTTACTGGTTGAGACACAATCGGGATATTTCAGACAAATCGAGTGCAATGTTCCCACCAATAGTTGCCGATATTTGTTTGTCTCTTCGCTACTTCCTTGGGATTCGTTTTGTGTCTTCAGTATCTCTTTTTTCAACAGTTGAACCATTTCGTCGACATTTCTTGATGTCACTAAATCCAGTCCAAGACTCAGTATCTTTTGTTTCACTTCCAAATCGGTGGCCACACTCAGTATGCGCAAGATATCCATCAGTGACTCCTGTAGTATACGTTCGGCAGTAGTGGTCGAATCTCTCAGCGCTACCAATCGGTCCAAAACAATCAGTTTGACATTATTGTCACTTTCTTTGATACAGATATCGATGAAACAGTTGGCCGCCGCTCTCAGAGCAGTCGGTGCCTGCGATAGTGTAATCAGTGTGGCGGCCGCTTCGTAGCGGACACTGGCCGACTGTGAGGTGTTCAACAGGTTATAGATGGCCCGTATAAATCTGGATCGTTCGCTAGGGTTGGCGATACAGACTTTGTAGATCAGTTCCACGATTACCAACTGTAGGATGTCGTTGAAACCGCTGATCTGATCGAGACATGAGTTCAGATAATCCAATGCTTTCTTCTGATCCAAATGGATAAGCATTAGAAAAGCGTTACGTTTGCAACTGGCGTCGGCTTCGCGCGAAAGAAAGTCCAATATAACGTCGGGTGCGTCGGGTATCAGCTGTTCAAAGTTGACATAGATCTTGAAGATGGCCAGAACAGCGTTACGCCGGACATACGAGTGGCGATGTTCGAGACACACCCGAATGGCCGGCATCAGCGGTTCCAATAGTTCCGGTTCTTTGAGTTTACAAAGAAATCTCAGTGTCGACCCCCGTATGAACTCATTCGGATGTTGAAGATCTTTACGATAGGCATCGCATACGAGTATCATTTCGTGCAACAGTTTACCATCTGAGCCACGTTTCGGTACAATCTCCCAGAATATCAACAACAACTTCTTGATCTGATGGTCATCGGATGGCAGACAGTAGCGGATGACAGTCATCAGCATATTTGGCGGAAATTTTTCGCCATTCAGTATATTGTAGATCAACTTCTTCAGGGCTTCGGTTCTTGACTTAACGTCGCCCTTCTCTGTGTCAGTGAAAATATGTCAATTAAAATAAATAATTAATATATCAATAATCGGCCACACAATCGGGTGACACCGAAATCAATCGATTGGCCACTCAATCGGGTGGCCAAACAACAACAACAAACCTAAATCGTTTCTGATGGTCATTTCGCTGACCGTATCGTCGGCTTCCGTATTGATCAATGTATAGCATATCGAATCGGCTGCTGAAGACATGGCTGATTAGATATAATGTCGGCGGATAACTGGTCACCGACAGATTTTCTGGTCAACAAAATAGCGGGTGTTTTCGGGTAAATACTACTTATTATTATTATTATTATTTTTCGGCTGATTTTTGTTTGTTGTGTTTGAATACACACTTCAAGACACGTCAACATTGACTGTAATATTAATATTATTAATAATATTGTATTGTATTGTATACACACATTGGAGTCATACATAAACACTGTTACACATTATATTTAATAGACTATAATACGGTATTATTTAAATAACTATATATTTGTAATTTAATTATAAAAACTTGATATAATTTACCATGTTATTATTTATTTATTGTTTTAGTTAAATATATAAACAAATTAACATTTTTTTAATTGCAATATTTTATTTTGTAATATTTATAAAATTAGGTGTAGTAGTAGTAGTAAAATACAATTTAAAGTTTTTTAAAAAAATGTTACACTGTTTGTGTATAACAAGTTAGTTAATATGTACTAATTTTAGCCGGCTTAATTATCATTTAATAATCTATATTTTAATAATAATATAGATAATACATTGGTTATTAAAAATCAAACATTAAAAAAAATAAAAACTAAAAATTAAAAAAAAATTATACAAAAAAAAATGTCTAGGACACCCGGTATTCCCAGGTGGTGTCCCTCCCAAGTACTAACCGGGCTCTCGGCTGCTTAACTTCGGTGATCGAACGAGAACCGGTGCTTTCAGCGTGATATGGCCCTAGACATCAATGTTAGATTAGCTAGATGATTTTATTAATAATATTAATTACTAATGCAATATGTATTAGCACAAGTAATAATTATTATTATTATAGTTTCAATTATACAAACATTTATAATACAACAGTTTAATAAATACATGTATATTTATAACATTTTAAATACCATTTAATACATAATTCATACATACTATTAATATATATATTATATATCATATATTGGGATTGTATAATACAATTTGTATTACACATGTATGATTGATACTGTAATAATAATTATTATTATTACTTGCTAATACATATTGTATTATTATTATTAATAAAATCATCTAGCTAATCTAACATTGATGTCTAGGGCCATATCACGCTGAAAGCACCGGTTCTCGTTCGATCACCGAAGTTAAGCAGCCGAGAGCCCGGTTAGTACTTGGGAGGGACACCACCTGGGAATACCGGGTGTCCTAGACACTTTTTTTTGGTTATTTTTTTATATTGTTAATTTGTTAATTGTAAAATTGTTAATTTTTGTTTATAATTTGTTCAATGTTTTTTTTTAATAAAATAACATTTATTATTATTAAAAATAAGTATTTTTTCAATAATTATTTATGAATTATAGTTAGATAAGATAATTAAGCTGGTAAAATTTTTAATTAATTATATAATAATGGTTTCTATAATACATATATATATACAAACATTGTAACACTTATTATCTATAGTTTAAATTAATGAATAATTATTGTATTTTACTACTACTACTTTTACTACTAATTTTTATAAATACTACATATAAAAATTGCAATTTATAACTTTAATTTTTGTTATTTTATAAAAATATACTATTTAAATAAAAATAATAAAATAAATAATACAATACTATAATAAAAATTTTAAGATTCATTTTAGTAGTCAATTATATATATATTTAAAAATTTTTTAAAATAATTATTAATCATTAATATTATATTATATAAAATTTTTAATCAACTTAAATACAAATAATTAATTTTATACAAATTATGTTTGCATTTGATTGCAATAGTCTATTAAGGAGTTATTTTTTTGTATAGTTAAGGTATAATATATTATAAAAGTTTAAAAACAATTTTAATATTACATTATTATTCATTAGTATACTATATTAAAAATATTTGCTAACAAAAAATAATACACACTTTTAGTATTACTATCATTCAAATCATTCAAAGTTTAAGTGATTTAATAAATTATAAATACTTTAATAAACTTTATACTATAAAGTATACTAAAAACTAACATTTTTTTTTGTTAACTATGAATTTGAAATTTGAAATTTTATTTTTGACATTCATTTGACATTATAAGCAAACAATATATTAATTATTTAAGTTTTTATCATCAATTTATTTTAATTAAAATTAAATTTTCATACATTTTATTTGGGGGGAGAAATAAATTAATAAATAAATTATGAATTCAATTGATAAGACAACTGAATTAACTGGCGATGATAGTAGGGATCAGTTGATGGACCAATCGGTAGTTGACTTGTCGTGTCTGTCGCGAAATGTTTGGCTAATAAAAGTACCGAAATATTTGTCGAAACGTCTGGAAAATTTGAAACCAATGCAAGAAATCGGAAAATTAGTCATGAATTTGGACGACAAACAGAAAGGCCTAAATCAAGTGTTGTGGAAATTGTCGCCCAAATTGTTGTCATCGGCGGACACTGACTGCGGGGGTGGCGGTGTAGACGATAAGGAAAACCAACAGCAATTGATGTCGCCTACCGAACACATCATTACATTTGCATCGGTAGACAACCAATTGATGACCGTTTTCTCGGAAAACACTACCGAAACAAATGAGACCCGTATTGAGGGTACAGTAGTCAAGAGGGGTGACTGTAGGCCGCGTGAGTCGACCAGTTATCTAGATTTTCAGCGATTACGTGCCAAACGAGCCGACAAAACTCTACGACCGGTCATCCAATTGGATCGTTCGATAACTGTATTCAAACCGATTTCGGGTCATTCGTCTACCAGAACCGGTAGTCTGGGTCCCAGACCTGAGATTAAGTGCAAATATGACAAACCTGTTGTCAAGAATATGCTATTCCAGGCCTACGAAAAGCATCGGTACTATACTATGCGAGATCTCGAACGGCTAACACTTCAACCATTATATTATCTCAAAGAGATTGTACGGGAAATATGTGTCTATAATATACGTAATCCACACAAATATATGTGGGAATTGAAACCAGAGTTTAGAAATTATAAAAAATAATTTTTTTAATTATATTATATTTTAATTATTATATTATTAGTATATATTGTATTTTTTATGTGTTGACTAAATTTTTTTAACAATTATTTTTATTCACAACTTTGTTATTATATTTTATATGTTTAATACATTTTTTAAAATAATACTATTCTCTAATCATTTTTGTATTATATATATATAAATAGTTATGATATTTGTATTTTAGAAATTATTTTTTATAAAACAATTATACAATTTATTCAAATAAAAATAATCAATTTTTTTTTAAAAAAAAGGTTTAATTGTAGTTTTTAAAAAGCTAGTTATAATTACATTATTTTTATTTTTAAAAAATAAATAATATTAATAGATACAGTATTATTAATTTAGTTTTTTATTGCTTGTATTATACCTGTATCACATTAATCAAATAATAGTTTACCAATTAATATATTATACTGTAATATAGGTTATAAATATGTTATACTGTACTTTAAATAATAAAACTGTTTCATTACAAACAAAACCAAAACAATTATGGCCTCAACGCTATTATACTCTTAAATATCGTTAACATATTTATTGTTTAGACAATAACTTAATAGCAATAAATATGAAAAAGTAATTTAAGTCAAGTGTAAAAAAAATTGACCAAATATTGAGTTAATAAGTGTATCATTGAATGGCAGACAATATTGTTTTGGTTTTGCTTATAATGAAACAGTTTTATACAATATTGTAAATAACTGTAAATATAAACAAAAAACTTTTTGTTTGTATTTTAATTATAACATTGAATTGAATTTGAAAACCAGTTTTATATTTATTGTATATATTTGATTGACTGAACAATTATGAGACCAAAAGGCAAAACACGTTTTAACAGAAAACAAGTGAAAGTCAAAGACAGAGACATCGATCTGTATAAAGAAGTCTTGAAAAAACAATTGAAAAATAAAAGATCAGATATTATTCTGAAGAGGAATAAAGAAAAATCAGATCAAATGAACCGTCAAAATGATGTCAACAATGATGTCAGCGATGAGATAATCGATGCAAACATTGTTTGTTTGATGATGTGTTTGAAGTCATTCATCGATTGTCTCAATCATTATCTTAATTGTCTCACAGATGAAACAACAAGAAGGTTACCTATCATTTGTGTCTAATATATTATATCCTAAGAAATTGATTCAATACTTAATAAAACTATTTTTTTTGTTATCAAACAGACGTTTGAATGAACATTTGGCCGAAATTACCGACATTTATGATAATCTTAGTAATCAAATGCAGTCATATGTCAACAGTTCCGGTGACGACAACTATGACAACAACAATGATAGTGTTGTCGACCTTGCGGTCAATAACCGCCGTAATAGCGATTCAAATATCGTAAAAGCAGAGAAGCTTACATCAGATTCTGATGACAACAAAAATCCAATCATTTTCTCGACATCAGTGGACAATCCGACAAAATTAACGCAAAGATTTGTGCGTCGATTTGGAAGTCTTTTCCGTTTGTCTCGATTGGTGACACCTTTTAATAAATTGATGCGAAGACAATCACCTTCAGAAGCGACCGTAACGGCAGACAATTCATTGGTCATCTCATCATCTGATGTATCGTTTAATGGAAATAAAGCTAAAGAAGAAGAAGAACCGATTGCCAGCACATCTAAACAGATGTCAAACACTGGACATAATGTCATTTCAAACAACATATTAGTTATTGAACGACAAATTAATATATATTTTCTCAGTATATGGTCTGAAGTATTTCAAATTTTATCTTATAAAAGGTAAGACCATTCATAATGAATACATAATAAATATTATACTAATTATTAAATAAAATATATATTTAATTTGATAGTCAAAGAATTGATCAACAATTTAGGCCAACTATTGAACGATTGCGGACTAGTCTTCGGAGTATTAATTTCGACCAACAGTTATCTGGTATTAGATTAACACATTTGGCCACATATGAGATGGCTTTCACTGACGCAACAATTGAACAATTGGTTGGACATCATATGGATGAAGATAATCAACAATTATTAGGTGATAATGAATTGCCTGTCGATCAGGAGATTCAAGATATCGTTGAAGACGAAGAAGAAGAAGTAGAAACCGTTGCTACAGATAGTGGTAAACCATTCTCGACTAACTCATCCGATTCTAATGAAGAAGACCTTTTAGACGGATAACTGTTTAATCAAATCTTAATTAATTGAAATTGTTTTTATCAGACATTAATTGCCAAAATTGTTTGATTAATAATCAAAGTTTTATATATATTTATAGTTAGAAATATACAGTATATTTGTACAGAGATACCGACAACTATAGCGTTAGTGTTGACGACCTTACAGTCAATAACCGCCGCCAAAACAGCGATACAAATATGAAAGAGAAAGAAGAAGAGTTGAGATCAGATTTTGATGACAATAATCCAATAACTTGCTCGACATCTGTGATCAATCGGACAAAATTAACGGAAAGATTTGTGCGTCGGTTTGAAAACATTTTCCGTTTGTCTCGTTTGGTGACACCGTTTACTAAACTTATGAGAAGAAAATCGTCTTCAGATGCAATCGTATCCGCAGCTAAGTTACCAATCAGTTCATCATCTGATGCATCGTTTAAAGCGAATGACAACAAAGTTGTTGATAAAGAAGAAGAAAAAGAAGAAAAACCGATTGCCAGCACATCTAAACAGATGTCAAATACTGGCCATAATTTCGTCTCAAACAACATATTAGTTATTGAACGACAAATTAATACATATTTTCTCAATATATGGTCTGAAGTACTGAGAGTTTTATCTTATAAAAGGTAGGAACCATTTCATAATAAATAAATAATAAATATAATACTAATTATTAAATATATATTTTTATTTATTAGGCAAAGAATTGATCCACAATTGCGAACAACTATTGAACGATTACGGACTAGTCTTCGGAGTATTAATTTCGACCAACAGTTATCTGGTATTAGATTGACTGCCGTAGGTTTGGCTACATATAAAATGGTTATAATTGACGCGACAATCGATGAACCATTGGTTGGACATCATATGGATGAAGATAATCAACAATTATTAGGTGATAATCAACTACCTGTCGAACAGGTATTACACGATGAACAAGAAGAAGAAGAAGAAGAAACCATTGCAACAGACAGTGGTAAACCTGTTTCAAATGAATCGTCCGATTCTAATGAAGACATATTAAACGGATAGTAAAGTATAATATGTTTTTTAGTCAATCATTTAAAAGTATTTTTAACAAAATAATTGCCAAATTTTTTTTAAAAAAAAATTATATTATTATTATTAAAATGATTACAAATTTTCAATTGAATATATTTGAGATAAAAAAAAATCAAATTTTTTTATAATCAAATATATTATTATATATTGTGATATTTTTTTTAATTAAAATTGTTTATTAATATCTATTAATATATTTGTTTGTATCGTCAAATTGAAAACAATTTATTCAACAACAACAACAAATATAAAGTAATTAAATTTTACTTTTATTTAAATAATGTATAAAAATATATTGAATTTTTAAAACTATTGATTATTATTATTAACATTGTTTTCTATATAAGTAAAATAAAATTTAGCTAAATTATTAATTATTATTATTATTATTATCAATAATAGCAAATTTGATTAGATTTTTATCAAACTATTGTATTTATAAAAATAATAATATTTGATATACAATTGCAATATATTGATGCAAAATAAAATTCAATTATATTTTTAAATTAGGTTTTTTTTAAAAAAAAAATCTAACAATTTATACGTGTTGTCTATTATTTTTTCAAAATTACAACTAATGTATATATTGTATTACAAGTTGTAATTTTTTAAATCAATGATTAATTAGTTTTACTATTAATATTGATTAATTAGTTTTACTATTAATATTGATTAATTAGTTTTACTATTAATATTATACAGTATTATACCAATTGTTAAAACAAAATTTTTTTATAAACAATTCAATTATTAATTCAAAAAAACAATTGAATTTTCCTTATATAGTAGTATCCAATAAAATATATGTCAATTTTTGAATAAATGGATAAATAAATAGTTTTATATTCAAAACAATAATAAAAAATTGAAATGTATAATTAAATTTATTTTTAGCGTCAATTTTTTTTTATATTGTTGTTAACAAAGTTTAATTAACAATTGAGTTTTTTTTCTATTAAATATTTTTATATATATATTTATAATTGTATACATAAAACAACAATTGTATAATAACAATATACAGTATTATTATTGAATAAGTCATTTAAAAAATAATACATTTTTAAAAAAACTGTGATTATGTAATATTATAATCTTTTTTTTCAAATACATTTAGCACGTAATTAAAATTTGTTACATTATTGTTATTATTATTATTATTATTATTATTGTAATTCAATTTTATTTTAAATTTATATATATATATTATTTAATTAAAAAATCCATACAATCTATATATAATCTGAATTATATATCATAATAATTATAATCACTGCAAATCTCTGAATCTTATAAATAACTAGAAATATATATATAAATAATTTTTTTTTTCATTTAAAAAATATAAATATATAGTACTTTAGTATTTTTCTCACCAATTGTTTCATTCATTATTCAAAAAAAAAAATTAAAATTCCTTATATATATAAAACACATTAAGATTCACATATCTATGACTAGACTATTATTATTATTATTAATTTATTTATTTATAATTTTAATAATTAAATTCATATCTATACTAAAAAGTCATTTTTTTTGTTGTTGAGATTTTTCTGCTATTTATAAAATCCTAAAATTCAATTTTCAACTATCAAATCGTTTTTTATAGTAGTTTTATATAAAGTTTAGCAATAATTCAATTATAAAATCTTATAATTTGCATATTAATAGTTAGAAAAATTTATGATAAGATATTGTATAACTAAATAAACTATATAATCATTTAAAAATAATAATATTAATAAATAAATAATTAAATTATAAATTGTTTTCGACATAAAATAACAAAGCAATTAAAAACAATAATAATAATAAATATAAAGTATTAACAATTATTTAAAAAAAATAATAATATCATTAAAAATAACAATAAATAATATAATAAAAATCAATTAATGATTTCAGAAGCCATAATCTCATTTGTTGAAACTCTGGTAATATATATATATATATATATACCATATATATATTAATGATATAAATATATTTATATATATTTATAAATGCAATGATGAATAAATATAACTTAAAGACAATTTGAAAATCAATAAATACATAAAAGTATATAATAATTACTATAATATGTATAATAATAATAATAATAATATATTTTGTTTGTTTTTTTTGTTGTATATATAATTTGACATTTATCTATATATATATATATATATATATATATATATATATGTATATATATATATATATATATACATGTATATATATATATATATGTATGTGTGTGTAAGTGTGTGTGTGTATGTCTGTGTGTATGTGTGTGTATGTAAGTGTGTGTATTATATGTGATTTAATTTGATAAAATGAGGTCTCTCATAAAAAATAAAAATATATATAACTTTTAAATTATATATTATTATTAAAATTTTTGTTTGTTTGTTTCGGAAAACACAGTTATTTTTGAAAATTTAATTAAAAGTATTTAATTTATTTAATTATTATTTTTTTGTGGCACACATACTAAAAGCTCATCCATAAAATTTTTCTTGTTATTGTTGTAGTAATAGTAGTAGTATTCAAACGATCAGCTCATCCATATAGACTACAAGGGAGGCGGACAGTTAGGTTACAGTTTAGCTGTATATATATATATATATATATATATATATATATTGTATGGTTTTGAGGAGGACTTCCGGTTCAGACTTTTCGGATTAAATCAGATCAGAGATGTGTTTCCATTAAAGTCTTATTATTATTATTATTGTGACTTAAATTGAGACTCGTTTTACCAATAAATTGATTTTTAACTTTATATATATTATTATAGTTATAATTATTATTATTATTATTATTTAAATTTTTATTATTGCTATTATTAGTTGTTATTGTCTTCGGCGGCGCCGGCGTTATCTTCGTCGTCGTCGTCGTCATTATCGGTGATGAGATTCTTTGAGACGACAACTTATTTTTCTCATTAATTGTATCATCAAAATGATGTCCATTGTTGGCTGCCGTCGTCATCATCGGCGGCGGCACACTATCAGTGACATCACTATCCGTATTGAAGAACTTGAGTGCCGATGAATTAATACAAAATCGTTTGCCAGTGGTTTTGGCCGGTCCGTCGTCAAAGACATGGCCCAAATGGCTGGCACATCGGGCACAGGACACTTCGGTTCGGGCCACGTCCGACTTGACGGCCAACAACAATAGATTACTGCCGACTGATTGATTGATTGATAATATTAATAATAATTGATGATAAATGAAAAAAATATAATAAGTTTAAAACAAAATTATATTTATAAAAAATAATAGTTAGCAAAAAAAAATGTTATCTCAAAAAAAATTTAACTAATTTCCGATTGATTTATTATAACTTTAGATAAACTATATATTGAATATGTAATGTGAAAATCGTGTAAAATATTTATCATTTATAGTGTTTTATTATTTTTTTGTTGGTTATATTATTTATATATTTTATATTTTTTAAAGGAAATAAAAGGGTTTTAAATGTCTATTTATATTTTTTTCAACACAAAAAACAGCTTATCAATTATTTGTAGATATCATATATCATATACTAAATAGTAATCTCTAATTAGTTTTTTTATAAAAATTTTTGTTTGTTTGTTATCAAACTATTTTTGTTTTTATTGTTTGACAGCTCATACATACATACATACCATGAGATAAGTCGATATTAAGTTTGACTTTTGAGTTATTGATGACACCGTCAAATGCCGGCCAACCGCAGCCACTGTCGTACTTGGATTGCGATGAAAATATCGGTTCACCGCATACTACACAACAGTATAGGCCGTCATCATTGAGTTTAAGGTATTCACCAGTAAATGGTCTATTAATTTCATATAAATATTATATTATATATTAAATATATTGATTTTTATATTCAGATATTGATTATCAGATAAAATAATTTTTTTAAAGTATATAAATAGTAGTCTATTATTATTCTGATGTAAAATAATGAATTTATTTTTGTTTCTCTCTCTCTCTCTCTCTCTCTCTCTCTCTCTCTCTCTTTCAAGGGTGAGTCTACTAAATATAATGATTAATGATATTACAATACATTATTATAATAATCACAATTTGAAATTCAACAAAAAAAAAGTGTTAAATTATTTATCCAAAAAAATAAAATAAAAATAAATCTATAAATTCAATAGAAAGCTGTATGTAAATCAATAATTATAATTATAATAATAAAAAAAATTATATGTATATAAATTTTTAATTATCAAATAATCGTGTGTTTGAAAAATTCAAATTATTAAATCATTAAAAAAACAATAATCTATTGTATTGTATAAAATTTAAATTTTATATTTAAAAATATAAATAAATTATTTTTTAAAAAATAATTGATTTGAAAAAAATATTTAAAGACACAAACCTTTCGGTAATTTTATGCTGAGTTACCCTAACTTGAAGTGGTGTCAAATGTTTGACCAATTCATCCCTTTCCTCTTTGCTTAGCATACTATTTGTTGGTGACGATGATTGATGATTGTTTTGCATAGTTTTTTGTTGGGGTAATTGTGTCTATACTTTCCAATTGATTCAATAATAATAATAAATAGACACACTTTGCTATTGATTTTATTTGGGGGATCAATATTAGTAGATCACTAGTAGTAGTAATAGTAGAGTAGATGCAGATCTGCGAAATGTCACCACAAAAAACATAAATATATTATATATATATATATATGAAAATCACTGATAATTATTAACAGTCAATACAACATCAACACAGACACACACATATGGTTTTTTCACTAAAATATATTTTGATAGCATAGACAGATAAATATATTTTTTTTAAAAAGTATAATAATTACATATACATGTATAATATATGTCTATGTGATATACAGTACTGTATAACTTATATTATATATAAATTATATCTCATAAAAATTTTTATACATGAAATATACTGTACAGTATTGTCAAATGTATATAAATGTTATACTACTAACTAGTAGTAGTAGTAATAGTTAAATATCATTAGATAGTAGAGACAACACATGAATTGTGGATTTTTTTTGTTGAAATTGCATGCAATCATAATAATAATAATACTTTAATAATAATATTCACACAACACTAGACATACACACATACACACAGTGTTTATGCAATACCTGTTCTCCAGGTATGGGCACTGGTCTAGTGATTTAACAAACAATGCTAATAATAATAATAAAATTTAAGTGTATGTGTATAATATATATATTAATATATAAATAAATACAAACCTTTAATAGTTTTATTTTTTTCTCCAAAAAAAACTAATAAAAATAAAACAATATTTTTTTCTCTCTAAATGACGCTCATATATATATAGTTAATAATAATGATAATAATAATTGTTTGTTTCAGCAAACCATGTTATATAGTATTAGCACAACCATTATAAACCATTTATAATTATATATATATATATATATTTATTATATGTATATTTATATTTTCAAGGATTTCACGTCAAAATAAAAATACAGTACACAACTAAAAAACAACTCTCAGTTGTTATTATTAATAAATATTATATTAATTTTAATATACATTTTTCAAAGATATACAGTATATATATATATATATATATATATATATATATATATATATAGAGAGAGAGAGAGAGAGAGAGAGAGAGAGAGATTCAATGAGTATTTAATTTTCAATGTTATTTGCTTTTAAAATACTCTTCACATTCAACATTAATATATAAATATAAATATAAAAACACTTACATTAGACAAAAACACTCTTAACACATAAAAATTTCACTTTTTTCCCAATGTTTTATATATATATATATATACTGTAGACTACTATGTAATATATTTTTAGCAAATGAAAAAAAATATCATTTGTATTGTTGTTTTGCTGGTTTAGTAGTGTATATATTTTATATCATCACTACTACTACACTAGTCTAGTGTTAGTCATCCATTCAGTGATGATCTAACAGTGCTCTCTATCTATCTCTAACATACATACATATATACAGCATCATAGCTCTCGTCATCATCAGCTCAAGCAGGCATCAGCTCAGGGAGTGTATATACCAGAGCATTGGTATATAAATTTATATATGTTTGTAATAGTGTAATAAAATTCTATCGGTTCGCGCAGCATACGGGTTCACCCGCCCCACTATATACGGTATTGTATTGTAAAATACTGTACTATAACAGTATATACGGTATATAATAGACGACCTAAAAATAAATGTATCCGTCAAATATCAATTGTAATGTAAATATAAAATACATATAATAATGAATGAATGGTATTTCAAATATTGTATTAATAAATTTATATAAGTTATTGAATTTATTATATATATATATTTTTTTATTGTTTGGACTTACCATTTAGGGTGTGTATGTGTTTTGGGCTAAATAGTTGTTAAAAACATTTATTAATATTTATTAATAATAATAGAAATAAATGTAGACTAAATACACAATATATATATACAGTATATACAAATAAATGTTAATATATATAGAGAGAGAAAAAATTTGTTAAAATGTTTACACTTTTATTTAATATAAAATTTACTAAAATGTTAACAAACGTCAAAGTTTTCATTAACTTTTTTGCTGTTATTGTTGTTGTTAGTGTTGATTAGCACAACAACAACAACAACAATAATAATTTTTTAAATGTTAAATATTTATACAGAAAATTTAAAAAAAAACTAGATTTTCTTTAAGGATAATTATATATGTAGTCAACCAATTAAATGTGTTATTAATTATGTTTTTATTTATTTGAAATTATTAAAAAAAAATTGAATTAATCTCTGAAGCAAATCATATGAACTAAATAACAAAAAATAAATAAATAATAAAAAAAATTGTAACAAATTATAAACTTATTAAAAGAAAATTTACAATAATATTTATATTAAAAAAAACAATTAAATGTTTTTTTTTAAAAACAAGATAATTAAAGGGTAAAAGATTTTTTTAACTGCACCCTATTGTTTAAATAATAATAAAAATATTATATGATACAACTAAATTTATAAATATATATATAATTTTTTTAAAAAAGGTTATCATAAAAAATGCAAAAATATACGGTATATAAAATTTACACAAAAAATAAGATAATCTAAATTTTATATAAACTTATTATTATTTTTTAAAATAAATTTCCTTTTAACTTATTGATTAATTAAATTGATTATTATTATTATTACATATAATACAGATAGTAAATAATTATATGTTAATATATTATTATTAAATTGTAAATAAAATTTTTACTATTTATTATTATCCATAATTTTTACGGTCAAAATTCATTTATATATATATATATTAAAATATTATTAATAAAATACTATTAAAATAAAATAAATTAAAAGATGGTCTGGTTTTATATTTATAAAAAAATATACATAAAATAATAATATATATTAAAATTTTCTACACTAATCACACACACCACTGTCCCTAAACCTACCCGAACCTCTAAATAGGTTAAGGTAATAGTGTGTCCGTAAAAAAATCAGTTCAATTAATTAATTGATTGATTGATTGAAATAATAATAATATAATAATAATATTTATTTGAAAAGTGCGGTCAAAAAAAACTAGTGATCATATGATTATTAAATATAAAATGTTTAAAATGTATAATAAATTTTTTTAAAAAGCATTGCAAAAGTATTTAACGCATGCGCTGTGCGTATCATAACATAAACCACGTGTTTATTATTAAATGCTTTTAACCGTAAATTAAAAAAAAAAACAATCAATTGTTTGAATCCAAATAATTGTCACCAAAACAACTGATCCCACAATAACAGTGGTCACTGATGATGACAATGGCCACTAACGATGATAATGATGATAAACATATTGATGACGGTGACGATGGTAGTGATGATGACCAGATTCTAGAGTTCAATCAAATGGGTCTCGACTCGAGACTGTTGCGGGCCATCGATGGCCAGGGATGGCACACACCGACACTGATCCAGGAAAAGGCTATACCGCTGGCACTCGAAGGCAACGACATACTGGCCAAAGCCCGTACCGGTACCGGAAAGACGGCTGCCTTTGCACTGCCCATACTTAACGGATTGTTGGCCATTAAAGATCGTTTGAGTGGTGGCGGCGGCGGTGGAATCGCCGTCGATGACGACAACGATGTCAATGGACGACAAATCCGTGCTCTGGTGTTGTGTCCAACTAAAGAACTGTCTCATCAAATCACTGAACATTTCAAACAATTGACAACCTATTGTTCGCGTGAGATCACCGTTATGGACATCGGATCGGGTCGTGTCGAAGATCTTCGGGCTATTATGACAGCCGAAACGCCAGACATTGTTGTGGGAACACCCAGTCGTGTCCTTAAGCATATCGAAGCCAAACATTTGCCAAATCTAAAGGATCAGCTAAAGTATTTGGTAATCGACGAATCGGATCTGATGTTTTCATTTGGTTACGAACAAGATTTGACAAAAGTATTGAACGAATCGCTACCGAAAATCGGTTGCCAATCGTTTCTGACATCGGCTACACTGAGCACTGATGTCAAGACACTGAAAAAACTATGTCTACACAATCCGGTAGTACTGAAACTGGAAGAACCAGAACTACCGCAAAGTGATCGACTGATTCAGTATCACATTGAATGCGACGAAGAAGATAAGTTTGTTTTGATAACATCGTTGTTCAAGTTGGGCCTAATTCGTGGCAAAACTATTATATTTGTCCGATCGGTTGATAGATGTTTTAAATTGAAACTATTTCTGGAACAGTTCGGTATCCGATCGTGTCTATTGAATAGCGAACTACCCGTTACCAGTCGATGTCATGTTGTCCAGCAATTCAATTCGGGTGTCTACGATATTATCATTGCCAGCGATGAGAAGTGCTGTGCGGATGCCGCCCAACGCAAGAAGACTACCACAAGAGCCAACAAGAAACCGTCGAGAAAGACGCGCAAACAAGACGAAGAGTACGGCGTTTCGCGCGGTATTGACTTCAAGTACGTGTCGAATGTCATCAACTTTGACTTTCCCACAACTGTCGAATCGTATACACATCGTGTAGGCCGAGTGGCCAGAGGTCAGGATTCGGAAACTGGAACCGTATTATCGTTGATCAATACCCAAGAGAAACCCTACTTTGATTTGGTTCGGTCGACATTTAACGATAGCGGCGGCGCCAACTTTAAGCCCTATCAGTTCAAAATGGAAGAGTTGGAAGCGTTTAAATATCGGACAAAAGATGCACTGAGAGCTGTAACCACTATTGCCATACGCGAGGCCCGACTCAAAGAGATCAAACGCGAGATGTTAGCCTCGCAGACATTGAAAAGCTATTTCGATGCCAATCCCAAGGATCATAAAGTGTTGAAACACGACCGAGCTCTGCATACTGTCAAACAAAAGATGCATTTACGGGATGTTCCCGACTATATCGTACCGCCGACACTCAGATCGATGGTCAGATCGAAACCGAAGTCGAATAGGGCTCTGGAAGAAGAGGCGAGTCTTAGTTATACACCGAAACGTAAACGAAAGCCCAAACACGTTAGAAATAAAGAGATGATGAAAGATAACGATCCGCTCAAGACGTTTAGGTTGAAGTCGATTAAGTCGAAAAAGAAACTAAAGAATCGTAGAAAATGATTATCAAAAATAATAATTATTTAAGAAAAAGTTTATTTTATTATTTTTTGTTTGTTTGTATAATTCAATTCATGTAATCTAAAAGCTTTTTTTAATAACAAAATTATATATCATATCTTATAATTTACGAATAAATTTTTTTTGGTTAATAATTGATTGATTAGAAGATCTTAATTATGAACAAGTGATGTATATATGATATACATATGATATACAATAACTTATGGGTTTGGCTAAGGGTTTAAAAAAAGTTTTTTTTTAATTGACATTTTGTGTCAATACTGACAAATAAATTAGTTTACTGTACTAAATATCAGTAAAGTTTTTTGATTTTTTTATATATAAAAAACTATATCATTGACTAATTAATTATTAATTAATTCAAGTTTTAACTTTGACTGTAATATTAATTAAATGTCAATTCATATGTTATATAATTTTTCTGTATTCAATGTGTGTGTGTATGTACAGTATATACAGTAATACAGTATATGTGTTTTATTCATCAAATATATTCATCTAAATAACATCAAAATTAATTAATTAATAAAGTTTATACAGTTTATTATAAACTAATAGTCACTTATTATTATTATTATTAATAAATTTAATACATTTCCATACAAATAAAATTAAAACATTGACTATTGACTGCACATATATTTAGGGAAATATTTTTTTGGGGCGTTTTTCCTCTCTTTCTTTCTCTCTCTCTCTCTCTCTCTCTCTCTCTCTGTAACCATAAGTCCAGTGATTTTGCGTCGAAAAAAAAATTTTCTAAACTGTATGTGTATTACACACACAACAAACATACAGTAATTTACTAAATATTAGTATTGAGTTTTATATGATATATATATATGTAGAGATAATACACTAGTTTTTCAGTGTATTTTCCATTCAACAAATGATTGGCTTATAATACACTAAAAAACTATATACAGTATAATATATACGACTGACTGACTGACTGGCAGTTAGTGTTAAAAGTTAGTCTATAGTAGTAGTGATCGACAACAACAACAATAACTACAGTCTCTGTCTATATCTTATGGTAATTGATTGTCTCATTTCTGATCACTCATTGTTTGTTTGTTGGTCTGTCTGAAGACAATCAGTTGCTGTCTATCTGTGGTGTATGTGCTGTGAAAGTCATACCTGAAAGAAAAACCATTTTTGTATTACAAGACATTTATCATATAAAAGAAAAGGACATCCATTTGATTTGGTTAATACCATCCTTGTTGTTGTTGTTGAGCTGATCCATACATTTTAGGTATAATAAAAATGTCGACCTCTTCAACTACTGACCAGTCATTGGCGATCATTGTGTTGATGACAATCATCGGTAAGTCATATATAAAATATGTAAATGTAATGTTAATGTCATTAATAATAATGATCACCACATTTGATCCGCTAATCTGTTTTTTATATTATTATTATGTAAATGGTTTACCATTGAATTTGATTGTCTGTTAAAAATGTAATTTTATTTTTTTTTTGGGTAAAAAACTATTTTGTTTTTTTTGTTGTTTTGTTAGTTATTATTATTATTATTATGCCATTAATTACCACAAAAAAATGAGATATGATTTAGTAGTTATTGTTGTTGTGTTGAGATATTGGATATAAAATTTAGATATAATTATTAGGAAATTATTTCCTAAAAGTCATTGTTGTTATGTATGTATGTGTAGTAGTAATGGGTAGTCATTGTCTATATTATTATAATATCTATATATCATATAATGCTATACAACATCAACAACAACAACAAAAATAGCCACAAAATCGATGATTAGTTTTATTTTGTTTGTTTGGTTTTTGATATATAATTCAATAGTGTGTGTATAATATATACACTGTATTATCATTAGTAGAGATATCTAATTGAATAAAATTATTTTTTAATAGTTTTTATAATAGTTTAATAAGTAGTGTTTAATATTAATTCTATAGATTAGTTAGTTTAAGTAGTTTTTATATATCTATAATTTTATTTTATTTTTTGATAATAAATAATACTAAAAAAAATTGCTGATAATGTGATCATAATTTGATTATCACATGATACTTGATAGACACCAACACACACAACAACAAAAAAGTTGATTGCAATTTACAATTATAATAAATAAATGATATATATTTATTTGTTTATTGTATGTTTAATGCTATAATCAATTTCAAAATAGTTATCATTAAAAAAAATTATTAGTCATTTCAATGTGACTTATGTTTTAGTTAGAGAGAGAGAGAGAGAGAGAGAGAGAGAGAGAGAGAGAGAGAGAGAGAGAGAGAGAGAGAGAGAGAGAGAGAGAGAGAGAGAGAGAGAGAGAGAGAGAGAGAGAGAGAGAGAGAGAGAGAGAGAGAGAGAGAGAGAGAGAGAGAGAGAGAGAGAGAGAGAGAGTATTGGTACTGAATTTTGATGACTTATTGAAAATTAAAAAAATTATTTTTATCGTATATTTATATGTTATATCAGTTGTGTTTCATTATTAGTTAGTGTATGGCTAATGCCATCATCAATAATATACTGTATATAACACACATTTATATATATATATAAATAATATATGATATCTGTTTTTATACATATAATTTTATACAAACATTTTGCTAGTCATTTGATTTTGACTTTTGAAGTACAATATTTACGTATCATTCAAACAAAAAGCAAAACAAAAAAAATATGATAACATTTTTTCCCCCAACCAAATAGATATCATATAATTAATTGATTTAGTTTTTTTGTATTTGTATCCCAACAAGTATTTTAATAGTATTTAAAAAAAATAATTGTTTTTGTATAGCATTTTAAACACAAACACATATGTTTTTTGTCGCAAAAAATTTAATAATTACATGACAATAGTAAATTAATAATACAATATAATATAGAAATAATAATAAACTTGAAAAACAGTTATTGATTTATATATATATTTATGTAATGAAAAATATTTAATGTACTGGTATTAAAAAAAATTTTTTTGATTAGGCTATGGGGAAAATATAGTATATATATTATACAGTATATGTAATTGAATATACAATTTTGTTTTTAAAATGGTGTGAAAATATATATATACAGTATATATATATATTAATGTACTTTATTATGTAATATAAATAAAATGCATACATGTTTTTTTGTGTAAAAAGGTCTATTGTTTAAAATTTATTTTGTTATTATATAATATGTATATTCAACTATAATTTATATATATACTGTACTCTACTGTGTATATAATAATAATAAATATAAATGTAGTGTATTAGTCATATATGAATTTTTATATGTAATTTTTTTTGTTAGCTGCACATACAATACAAACCACTTTATTATATATTTATTTGATATAATCTAATAATACATTTTTCATTAATAGTTTTCAAAATTAGCAATTAATTTGTTATGTTTTTTTCTAAGCAACCATTTATTTGAACATATAATTTGTATTTATAAATAGTATAATATTGCAATATAAAGAAAATATTTTTATAAATATTTTAGTCTAATATTGCAATATAAAGAAAATATTTTTAGTTTAAAAAAAAATTGATAAATAAGATATCATATTTTATTTAGTGTATTAAATTTCATATTTCTAATTTTTTTAAATTATTTATTTATTAATTGAATAGCATTGGTGAGTGCCCAGGCCGGTGTACCTGCAGTCGCACCAACCAACGGTGGTGCCGCCGCCCCACCAGCACCAGCAGCACCGATAACATCGACAACAGTTGCGCCACCGACGACAACTCTACCTCCAGTGACTACTACACCAGTGCCAGTACCGCAACCGACACCTGGACCCATACCCGAACCGGAACAATGGTCGGGAACTGTAGCCCAGGGCAACAGTACCTGTATTAAAGTCTTGTCCGACATTAAAATTATAATTCAATACCCGAATGGCACTTCAAATGTATCGTCGTCGCCATTGACCGCCGGGTTTGTCATACCCAAGACTGCTACGGTCGATGAGTTGCAGAGTCATTGTAGTGGTGGCCTGAAAAATGAGTCCACCGAAATACTGGTCATTACATTCAACAATATGTATAATACGTCCGCCAATCTGACAGTTAGCTTCAAGCGTGACTCAGACAATAAAGTATCTGTCGATGAATTGGATCTATCATTCAATGTCACCAAAAACTTGTTGCCACAGCTCTACAGTGATAGTACTGAATATGGTTTGTTTGTTTGTTGTTGTCTTTGCCATCCATTAAACTGATCCATAAAGTATTTTTTAAAATTTTATCAATAAACAGGCCATTTGTTGAGCGCATCGGTTAAAAACCAGTCACTATTTTCGGTAGCCAACCAGCACTCGTACAAGTGTGACGACAATGCTGTCAAATTGGATGGCATCAGCATTGGTGACAATCAACCATTGATTAATATAACTATCGAGTTTAGCCACTTTCAGTTCGAGGCATTCATGAACCATAGTTCCAATACAAATGTCGTCGAGTTTGATACCGGTATGTTTGACACCCACCCCCCCCCCTCACCAAAACAAAATTGGTTTTATTAATATTTATTATATCTATTTATATATAGCCATCGATTGCAAGTCAAATGAGATTAGTGATGTGGTGCCAATCGCCGTGGGCGCCGCCTTAGCCGGATTGGTGGTCATCGTATTGATTGCCTATTTTATTGGCCGCAGACGTAGCCGTCGTCTCGCATATCAATCAGTTTAAGTGGGAGAGAGAGAGAGAGAGACATCAGAAAGAGAGGGAGAGAGAGATTAAACGATTTTTTAAATATATATATATTTCCATTAAAAAAAATAACTTCACATTTTGCTGCAGACAGTAGTAGTGTGAAGTGTTATGTAAAATATTGATAATTAAGTTTTAATTAATAATAATAATAATTCAATGATAAATATATATATATATTTAATTAGTAGATTAACAATCAAGTTTTTAACTATTTTTTTTGTTTGTTTAAAAAAAATTACATTTGATTTCAGTTTCAATTTTTTTTAGATTTGTTATCTGTTTAATATTATTATTAAAATTATTTAGTATTTTGTTTGTTTATATAAAAAAAAATAATTCACTCAATAGTTATTTGTTTTTTTTTAATTATTATTGTTTCTAAATTTTGTTTCAATGTTTATTGTTTTTTTTTTATTTAATTATTATTATTATTATTTAAACATTTAACAACTCTTATAGCTATTTAGTTTATTTACAACAACAACAACAAAAAAGTTAATAAAATATAAAATTTCTGTTTTATTAAATTTTTAATCAATTTTTTTAAAAAAATTATTTCAAAAGCATATTTCAAAAATAAGTCAAACAAATGATACAAACAAATAAAAAACAAATTAAAATTAAAAATTTTGAATAATAACTGTACAGATCTGTGATATCGATAGAAATAACTTCTTTTGAAACTTTCAATTGAAAACAACAAAAACAAAAACAAAATTTTCTTCAAATTTCACTCTTTTATGTAACACTTATTAATTAATTAATTAACTAATTAATAATAAATTCATTTTTATTTAATTAAATTAACATGTTTTTAGGTATTTTTTTATTATATATATATAAATTTAAAAATTAATAATACAGTAGTAATGTTTTAATTTCTATTTACAGTATTAAAAAAATATGTTACGTTTGAATGTTTAGTAATATATTTATTAAAAAAAACTATTGTTGCGGTCGGCGAACAGTTCCCAAAAACAGTATGAAATTGGTGGCCACATCACGGATGAGATAGAGAAACGGTCGGTTGGCTATGAATTGTGTGGTAAACACTGGCCGTCCGGATCGGCCATAGATGAGAGCTGTTGCGGCCGCTGCTTCTGTGCCCTCTTCGTTGACCGTTATATAGGACTTGTGAATTACCGAATTCAGTGCAAAACCGCTACCCGTTTCCCGATGATGATGATGACCAGATTTTGTGGTATTGGTGCCATTGGCGACATGATTGTCGGCGGCGGCGGCGAACAGTGACGATAGATTGGCAAATCGGGGATCAAATAGTTTTTTAATGCCAATCGAATACAATGGTCCGGCCATTTCGAATTCTTGTTCGACCTTGAATTTCGGTAACTGAATGGCCACTTCGTCGTCGTACATGTTGGCCACCAGTTCGTAGAGATCGGCGGGTGTTATGCTGGCTATGAGCGAATCGAGACCTTTGCCAACGTCGGGCAATATGATGATCATCGAGTAGTCGGGATTGGCGTACGACAAGTCGATGGCTGTTACCTGCAGTTTCTCAGATATACCGTACATAATGGTCGACTCCATTGACATCATTTCCACACTAATCTCATCGGTTGGCGACAAGAAAAACGTCGTATTTCTTGTACTATCTTTAGTAAATTCGTTCAACCATTTTGAATGAAAATAGACGGCGTTTGCGATAATCATTTTAGTCCACGGATTGATCGAACCATTCGGTATGAGATCAGTAATCTTGCCGTTTGTCAGCTCTTCCACCCAACCATTGATATAGCGGGTCGACTGTATCGGCTGTGTTGTGAAGTTCATCGGTCGGATGTCGTCATCAAAGTAATCGGCAAAACATGGATTAATCTGAAGATCGTTGTTAACGAAGATTCTGTTGGCCTGACTGAGTATTGTCTTCTCCGAATCGGACATTTTGGTCATATTTTTCTTCAAATCGTTCCACAGTTTTAAGCCCTGATAAGCCAAACCAACCGACGACTTGGATATCGACTGAAGGCGTAACTTATTTCTTAGTTCTGTCTCTGTTTCGCCATTGGATGCCAGATAAGTGATGACCAAAGTCGACCAAATAGACGATGGACTCATGAGTAGACCAAACGAATTGTCTTTGGGTTCAAATTTATGCAAAGCTTTTAACAAATCAAATGCAAAACTATGCGATCCTTCGATAAGGACACGGCTTAGCTCTGTTGGACTCAATGTCGACACCTTATTGTCGGCCAATTGTTTATCACTGACCGACGAGAAACAGTCTATTGTTTTGTCGTCGGCGTCGGTATCGCCTAAAAGATCTTTGACAAGAGCTTCCTCTTCAGCACTAACTTCATCGGCAGCAGCACTGATAACATGATTGGTGGCAATCAGTAATATCATCCACGATATGGATATTAATGATAATATTTTTGACTTCATTATTAGAATTATTATTATTATTATTATTATTATTATTATTATATTATAATATATTTATTTTCTTATTAAGTTTTATTATAAGTTTTATTTAACAAACAAAATGAATAGTTTTTTTGTTGGTTTAATGAATAGGATATTCCCAATGATTAAAACTACTGATTACTTATACTGTATTATATGACTTACAATAATAATAATAATAATTAGTATTATTAGTTGATATTTATATCAAATTTTTTGTTTCCGATTTTATTGAATATATATACAGTATATGAAGTTTTTCTGGGATGCGATTGGGGATTACACTGTCAAACAATTTACAACTTCAAGGTCTGCTAAATTTGAATAAATAAATTTTTCCTTGATGAATAATATTAATAATTATTATTATTACAATAATATATTATAGCAATTAATATATTATAACAATATTATTAAAAATAATTTGATTTAAGTCCATTTGGTACTAAACTAACAATAACAAAAAAAATAAATAAATATTTTTTTTTTGCTTACATATATAATATGCAATTCCTGACACCAATAACTAGTATTAAAACTAAATAATATATATATATATTAAATAAAAATAAACGGTTTTTACAATACGAGTTGAAATAAGTTTTTACACAACAACAACACTGACGATAACAACAACAACATTATTACAACAAACTTATGCAACAATTATCACATAATTAAGTAAATGAAAACTTTTTGTTTTGTTTTGTTTTGATAAATTAGATCAAATTGTTTTGTGTCCAAAATAATGGTCAGTCAAATAGTAGATATAAGTTATACTGTATTTTTTGTTGTTGAGGATAACTAATCAATAATAAGATTACAAGTTTATGGGGAAAAACATATAATGGGAAATAAAATATAATAAGCAATTTTTACTACAAAATAGGATGTTATGTGTGTTTGGTTTCAAGTTTTAGTTGAGACTGAAATATATTATTGTATTTTTCATATGAAATGAGAGATATTTTTTGTGTGTCAATAATCAGGTCGTGATCTTCTTTTAGCATACAGTGTGTGTGTGTGTGTGTGTGTGTGTGTGTGTGTGTGTGTGTGTGTGTGTGTGTGTGTGTGTGTGTGTGTGTGTGTGTGTGTGTGTACTGTACTGTACTTATAGTGTATATACCTGTATATACAGTATATATAATTACAGGTATATATCCCTTAGTAAGTAGTAGTAGTAGTAGTAGTAGTAGTAATACTAGTAGAATAAATGCTAAATTTTTTTATTGTTGACAAAAATCTAAAGGCATGACAATCAGCCAAATGTATAACAAAAATGTATTGAAAAGACAACACAACAACAAAATTTTTTTACAATACTTTTTTAATACACAATATATGAACGCTTAATAGTTATTTTAGAAATAAATAAATTTAAACTAAAATTTGGTTTTCAAGTCAAAACGTCATATATATATATATATATTTCTAAAAAAATAAATAAATAAAAATTTATAAAATAAATGCTATTCACACACACAAAACTGGTCGCTTCGTTGATAATATGTTTTTTTATATAATTATAAATATGAATCTAATGTTTTCGGTAATTTTTAAGACAAATTGCAAAAAATTGTTTTTTTTGAGTTGTTTTCTGGAAAACAAAATCCAATTAACATTTTTCATTTAACACACATTTACTTATATATTTATAATTATATTCAATATATATATATATGATTATATAGTTAGTCTGAATTATATACTGTATATATTATTATTGTTATTAACAATTAAATTAGTTTTATGGCAAAACCCAAGTAATAGTGTTTTAGCTCCTTATCACTTGACTGTACAACAATATATTGGATATAAATAAACAATGGTATATATTGTATATATAAATTATATATATATATATATATATATATACTACTAATTAATGATTTCTAAAAATATGATATACACTTTATATATTAAACAATAGATTATCAATTGATAGTTTTCATATACTTGAAATAATTATAATCTAAAACTTATTTTTTTGTCAATAAACTTAATGTCTAAATTTTAGGTCATTTATATGTATGAATATATAGTTTTTAAAAATATATATTAAACTTTTTAACTAACTTTAACCAAGAAATAAAACTATTTTTTTGATACCTTGACTGTGTTTGTCATATATATATATATATATTTAAGGGATGACCGCATTATGAACTACTTGTTGTCACCTATTTGTGTCCTATCTTTTTTTCAATGTTATATATAAAAGAAAATAAAATTATTATTATTATTACTATAATTATCAGTATATATCATCATTATTTTTTTAAAAATTTGTTTACAGTATATAATATTTAGACACTTTAGTAAATAAGTTTATTTGTTTATTTTTTTTTGATACATATTTAATGACAACAACAAAAAATGTTACATTTTTTTAGGTTAATTTCAATGCCAAATGATTTTCTATATATATTATTTAAATTTAACACTTTTTTGTGTTATTTGTAAAAAATATTATATTTATTGTGTGTAATTGTTATCAATAAAAATAAATTTCAAAAAATAAATAATTTTTGTGATATAATTTAATTTAAACTAAACTATAAAATCAGAATTTTTTTTACTATATATATATATAAATAATTAATAAATTTGAAAAATATATAATAACTTATAACTGTTAATGTTTATAATTATATATTTTTTTCTAACTAATTATTTATTATAATTATAATAATATTTGTTTATATAACTAGAATACTACAAACAGAAATAAAAAATTATAATATATATATATATATATATTCTACTAAATAATGATAATATTGTTATTATTATTATTATTATTATTAAAATATAAAAAGACAGGATATGAGTAACACATCTAAATAATGAGTGTATATATTAATGTTAGTTAACAAACAACAAAAAAACTCATCCGCAATATACAGTATAACACTGGATGGATATGGTTTATGATATAATATAATGTTGTTTTTTTGTTGAAGATATATTCAAGTTTAGGGACATTTATATTGTATATTATAATTTATATAATATAATATAATTAAATATTATAAATTATACAGTATTATTATTATAAATATTATATGGTTCCGCCTGTTATTTAATAAATAAAAAATTATTGAATTTAATAATAAATAAATGTTTTTTAAATAAAATTTTGTTGTTTAAAAACATTTAAATTAAATCTTAATGTAAGCAAATTACAATAATAATAATAATAATTATTATTATACTGTAATGACTTATAAAATAAATAATGCATAAAATATGATTTCCTATAATAATTATTATATAATAAGTAAATAAATTATATAACAATTATTTTTAAATTTATAAAAAAATATCCATCATTTCATTGTTAATGTTGGTGTCCCAATAAATATTTGTTTTTTTAAATTAGTGATTATCAATTAAATACTAATAATATATAATATATTATTATTATATATTTAAACAAAATGTTTTAACTGACAAATAGATATTAGGTATATACTAATCAAATAAATAAATGTTTATTTGTTTTTATTTTTGTTGTAACAATAATTGCTGGTTATCTGTCAAATAATCAGGAAATTACAATATAATAATTTCAATGGTTAGTTCAAACTAAGAGATAATATCATAAAATTATTATATGTATGTATTAATCACTTTAAAAAAATACTGTCAATAATATATATATTACATATAATTTATTCATCAAAATTAATTGTTTTTCATCGATACATATGTTTAGTTTAGACAATAGTAATAATTATTAGTTTTTTTGAACAATTAGTAAATTATTTGTTTTGTTTGTTTGTTTGTTGAATAATTAAAGTAAATAATAATTTATTTATTTTTTAGTTGACGTTTGACAATGCAAATTTTATAATAACAATTATTATTATTATTATTTAATTATTTAACAATAAAAACACAATTTTATTATCCTATTATTAAAATATGTGATAATATTGTATTATGTGTGTGTGTGGTTTTTTAAAAAAAATATATATATTTGTTATTACCATGATAATGTAAATAATATTGAAATTGTTTATACTAAATTTTTCTAATTAATCATTGATATGATATGTGTGGCAAAATTAATTACTATTTTGTTTAATAAACAATTTTATATTTTTAAACAAAAATTTTTTAAAAAATATTTTAACTTTTACTTATATTACTTTTAGTTATATTACTGTTCAATGATATTAATAATTTATACTAATTTAATAAATTATATAATAATAAAAAAATTAAATGATTATATACTAGTATTAATTTAAATGTTAATTTAGACTAATAATTAAGTTATAATAATAATAATAATAATATGATTTCATTTTTTTTGTTAATCAAATTCATAATCAACGGGAAAGAGAGTGCATGAGCTGAGAGAGTAGTGTTATATATATATATACAGTATATTATAGTAGTGTTGGAGGACTGGGAGGACTGGGAGAAGACAGATATGGGAGTGAAAAAAAGGAAGTCAATTACATATATTTATATTAATACATGTATTAATAATAACTAACAAATGTAAATAATATATTACATACAAGTGAATGAGCTATTCAACAGTTAACTATCATATACTATAATATACCGTTATATTTATATTAATATATATATATTAAAAAAAATTACAATCATTAGTACTGTACTGTAATACCAAACTTGTTATTCATTTACAATATTTATCTATAAGTGTTACTATAAATTATATATACTGTATAATTTTCTAGTGAAATATTATTATTATTACATTCAAATAATATAAAGTAAACTATTATTATTATTATGTTATATATATATATTAATAGTTTAAGAAACTGAATGTAATCAATGAAGACATTCTTTATAACATTTTTGAAGTCAACCATAAAGTTATACTGAATTTCATAACTTTTAATGTTTTTTAAAAACTATTTATATTATATTATTAATGTATGAGTGTTTAGTGTCATCATTAGATACCGGAATATATATATACAGTATATATTTATATAAAAAAGTTATCTATTTAATTAAGTTGATTTGATAATTTGATTAAGTAGTTGTGCTTTACTGTAAATGTGTAATAATATACAGTATATTTAAAATAATAATTTTTGTATCATATTTAAGATTTTAATTATTTTTTTAAATATTAAAAAAAACCAAAACAAAAAAATGACAACTAATTCGCCAAATTCAGGACCAATTCGTTCAATTAAAGTGGTTGTTGTCGGCGATGGTATGTATTTAATGACAAAAAAAATTATATATTTATTATATAACTATAATTATTTGAAATCAAATTATATGTATATTTATTTTTATCTCTTTTCTAACTAATTTATGTTTTACATATTATTTTACATCTAATTACATGTATATTGAATTTATATATATATATAAAAAAATATTTTTATTAGTTTCTAATTACAGAATATTATATTACTAATGTTTTTTCAATCTTACTATTATATATATACTGTATATATATAAATAAAATAACATATTTATTATTATTATTATTTTTATTTATATATTTTATTTTAGGAACAGTAGGCAAAACATGTCTATTGATAAGCTATACGAGCGGAAAGTTTCCGACCGGAGAATACATACCAACAGTGTATTTATTACTTTATTATTTTTTTAAATATACAATATATCTATTATATATATCATTAAAAAAATAATTATATGATAGTTATTAGTGTTTATTATTATTTTAATACCAGAATATTCTGGTATATAATAATAATAACAATTAAAATGTCTGTGTGTTTGTTATGACTCACTTTAAATTATTTGTTTATTATTATTATTATTATAAAAACAATTTTTTTAATAGGCATATTTGTGGTAATAATTTATGTGGGACTATTAATAGATTAAATAGTAGCTATATTTTATAATTATATACAATAATTATTGAATCATAAATTTATATCAATATATATATATAAATATATAGATTTGAAAACTATGCGGAAAGTCTAGTTTGCGACGGCGTTACCGTTAACCTAACCCTCTGGGATACGGCCGGTCAGGAGGACTATGAACGACTTAGACCGCTATCCTATCCCGGGGTTTGAACTTATTTTTAATTAATTTTTTGTACAAAAATTAATGATTTTTTGTACAAAAATTAATGATTTTTTTTTTAAATTTTTTATCTATTGTAAAGGCCGATATATTTTTGTTATGTTTTTGTGTGGATAACATACACTCCTATCAGAATATGCTATCCAAATGGCAGCCAGAGATCAAACATCATTGTCCGAAAACACCGTACATACTGGTCGGTACCAAAACAGATCTCCGATATTCAAATCTATTGAATAATAGTCACATCGATCTGACACAACAACAACCAGCACAGGACACCACCACCACCAGTAACACTACCAGTGCTAGCAATGGTAGTGGCGGTAATGTTAGTGGTGATGTTGACGGATCTGCTACCGGTCCCGGTAGCAAACGCTACATTACCAAAGCTATGGGCAAAAAGTTGGCCAAAAAAATCAATGCCTCCAAATATATTGAATGTTCGGCAATGACAATGTCGGGTGTGACCGAAGTAATGGCCAAAAATTTATTTTTATTATTATTATTAGCAGTTTTTCTAATTTATTGATTGATTTGTTTGTTTGTTTGCACAGGTATTTCAAGAGGCAGTTCGTATAGTTTTAAACCCGTCAAACACCCATAAGCACTGTCTTATCGTCTAAAATATATTATATTATTAATATTTAATTTATATTTTTGTCAAACAATTTGATATCATTTATATATTTAGGACATTCAAACACTGACTATACAAACATATATCTCTCTCTCTAATCTTTTTTTAAATACTATTAATACTTATAATTTATATGTTTAACTTATTATTTACATTATATTGTATTTATTATTATTAAAATTATTTAGAAAAATGCTTACTAATCAAATATTTATATTATTATTATTATCATAAACTATTTAAAAATATTTAGTATATAATACAGTATATAGATATGTAGAATATATATATATATTCCTATATACTGTACATAAATTATATATATTTTTTAATTAAAAATATATTATTTTTTATGATAAACTAGTCTATAATCTAATAACTAAAATTCTAATTTAATAACTAGTAATTTAATATTACTAATTGCATTGTATTATTATTAATTAGTAAAATAAATTATTGTTACCATTTCAATAATAACCTGATCATTGTTTTTTTTAAAAATTATATATCTTTTACATTATTTAAAATATTTTTAAATTACAAATAAATATTTTATCAATATACTGTACATGTTGGAATATATATAAAATATTATAATAATTTATAACTTATAATTACAATAGAGTAATAGTAATATTTTAAGCATAAATATTAAATTATTTTAGAAAATTTAGAAAATAAAAATCTAAAAATTTGAACAAAAATTTTTAGTATAGATATCCAAGTTATAGATGGAGTAATACATTGTATGGCAACACAAAAATTAAAAAAAAATAAATAAATTATCAAAAATAATATTTATCAGATGTTTTCACAGATGAAAAACAAGTTTTTTCAATGCAAATGTTAAAACTACTGTACAATACATATCATAATAGTCTCTCTCTCTCTCTCTCTCTCTCTCTCTCTCTCTCTCTCTCTCTCTCTCTCTCTCTCTCTCTCTCTTTCTCTCAAATAGTGTGACTAAAATATATTATGCAATAGTGTGTGTGTGTATGTGTGTGTTGTTTTTGAATTTTTCAATACAAAACTATGTGTACAACTAATAACAATTATATAACAAAATGTATGTTATATTATACACATTGACTTAGCATTTTTGTTTTATATATATTAAAAAAAGTTAACTAAAACTTGTTTTTATTGGCTAAATAAATGGTGTTATTTTTTTTGGTGGATATCATAAAAATTTAGTCAAAATACCTGTACATTTATGTGTTTTTCGTATTTTTTTTGCATTGAATTTATGATAATATATTTTTAAAAACCTCTAATCAATTGATTTATGATTTTATTATTGATAGATAAAAATATTTAAAAAAGTGTTTTTCTCTAATAATAAATAATTAAATTGGAAATTACTTTTGACTATGACTTGAAAGTCGAAAAGTTTTTATTTTTGTTTTTATTACTAATAATTTTTTTAAAAAACTCATTATTTCAATGCTATTAATATGATTATAAAAATATTAATTATAATATTATGATAAATAATAATATAATTTTGTGATTAAATATATACTACATTAAATTAACATCAATTTATTAACTTATAATAATGTTATAAAAAAATTTTTTTTAATATAAAATTTAGTTTGAATTAGTTATTAAATATGTTTTTGAAAAAATTATTTATTAATTCATCAAAAAAGTTATTATTAACTAATGAAATATTATTAGTCAATAATAATAATAAATTTAGTACAAAATGTTTATTAAATGCTACAAATATACGGCAATTATATTATAATAACCGATACTTATCATCAAATGTCTCGTCGATACCGATGTTTGAGACATCATCATTGCCATCACCGGCGGTGACCACTAATACTGTCGGCGGCGGCGGCGATAATGTCAACAACACCGGTGAAGATAAGCCACAATTTCCCGGTTCCCGGTCTAGTTGGACACAGACTCTCGATTTTATATTACCCGAGGATTTTGAAGGTATTCCCGTCTATCGGGTAATGAATCGTAATGGTAGTGTCATCAGTCCGTCAGAGGATCCCAATCTAAGCCAAGAGATGGTCACTAAGATATATAAAGGTTTCTCTTCGGAAAGTCCCTAAAGTTTTTCAATTGTAATAATAATAATAATTTTTTTTAATTGGTTGACTACTACTACTACTACAACTCCGATTGGTGGCCGGAAAAGGGATGACAATATTGAATTCAATGGACAGAGTATTATATGAATCCCAACGACAGGGACGGATCTCCTTTTATATGACAAACTATGGCGAAGAGGGCACCCATTTTGGTTCGGCCGCCGCTATCAATGATGACGACCTCGTGTTTGGACAGTACAGAGAAGCAGGTCTCAGATAAATCCTAATAAATCCTAATAAGACATAAAAATAAAATTTTAAAATTTTTGTTTGTTTAGGTGTCTTAATGTGGAGAGGGTTTAAATTGGAAAAATTTATGGCCCAATGCTATGGCAATTGCGATGATCTGGAAAAAGGTCGTCAAATGCCCGTCCATTACGGCAGTCGCGATCATTATTTTGTTTCCATATCGTCACCGTTGGCCACACAGATGTCGCAGGCGGTGGGCGCCGCCTATGCCCTGAAACGCGAAGGAAAGGGCCGGTGCGCCATCTGTTACTTCGGTGAGGGCGCCGCCTCTGAAGGTGACGCTCAGGCGGCTCTCAACTTTGCCGCTACTCTTAACTGTCCCATTATATTCTTCTGGTATATATATATATTGTCGTCGTCGATGTCTTAGTCAGATATCACATACCCTTTAATTTAAATTATTTTATGGTTTACTTATATATTGAACATATAGTCGTAATAATGGTTACGCCATATCAACGCCAACTCATGAACAATACAGAGGTGACGGCATAGGTATGTATCGTATATATTGTCTAACGATATACTGTATATGACTATAGGGTTTGTCTAATTGATTGATTGATTGATTGGTTAGCATCTCGTGGTCCTGCCTTTGGTATACCGTCGGTAAGAGTCGATGGCAACGACGTACTGGCCGTCTATAATGCTACCCGATTGGCCCGTAGTATATGCGTCGGCGAATCGCGACCCGTACTCATCGAAGCCATGACCTATCGTATTGGCCATCACTCGACATCGGATGATTCCAGTGCCTACCGGAGTGTCGACGAAGTTCAACAATGGCATCAAAAAGATCATCCGATATCGAGGACTCGTAAGTTTATGGAACAAAAAGATTGGTGGGATGAGGACCGGGAAAAACAATGGAAAGAGGAGGCAAAACGGCTGGTCATGAAAGCGTTTGCCAGCGCCGAGAAACAGCTGAAACCCAATTGGATGGAAATGTTTAACGATGTCTATCATGAAATGCCCGAACATATTGCCGAACAGGCAGAAGATCTACGTAGACATCTGGAAGTCTATGGTGATCACTATCCTCTAAATATATTCAAACAATAATAATAATAATAATAATTGGATTTAACTTTTTTTGTTTGTTTGTTTGTTAATTAGTTTTGTTTCATATTTAATATAATTATTTTTATTTTTAAAAAAATATTATATTATATAAGTTTACTTAGTTTTGTATATATATATACACACAGTATATATCATATAATACTAATTGTTTGCACTCAGATCAGTGATTAATATACAATCAAATGATGAAATAATTATAACTCACAAAATTTTTTTAATATAATTGATAATTAATATTATATATATAAATTATATTATATAATTTATATATATATATATATATATATAATACAGTATATGTTACTTTATAAAAATTAAATCAAAGTCATATATATACCTCAAAAAAAATATATGAAATTTTATATTTAATCAGATAAAATTGTAAATGTATTTTTGTTATTATAATTAATATTAGTATTAATTATTAAATTATATTGATTTTGACGTTATATTTTAGTAAAAATATATATATATATACTGTAATTTAATACAAGTATATAAAGTTAGATGTATAGCTTTTTTTTTGTTATCAATTTTTTTTTTTGATTAACATTTGTTTATTTTATTAAAAACTTTCTCAACTTTAATGCCAATAATTATCAATTTTCAATAAAAGTTACAAAAAATTTATGCAAACAAAAAATACATTAATAATAATCATATATTTTTGAAAATATATAAAATTAAAAATTGTTATAAACTTTAATAATACCTCAAACCCTAATATTATATTAAATAATCAAATAATTTTATTTAAAAATATTTAACAAAATTTTTATAAAAATAATATAATTTAATATAAATGTAAATTATAATACATCAAAAATTGAATTATTTTTAATAATTTATAAAATATTTTGTTGTTTATTAAAATTATATATATAATTAAAACTAATGATTCAATTTAAAACTACATAGTAGTCAACAAAAATGGTATTTTAATTACCGCTTATAATTAAATTAGCGATAAGTTATTATAATAAAACAGTTTTAAAAATAATTTATAAATATTTCTAAAAATTTTATGAATATATAAATTATATTAAATATATATATATAAATTAATATATTATATAATAATAGATTATAACAATTCCTAATTGATTAAATAGATTATAACTAAAATTTTTGAAAATATATAATTTAAAAAAAATATATTATAAATAATAATTGATTATTAAGTTAATTATTATTTAAGCAATAATTGGTTGTTTGGTTTGTCTTAACTCAATGACTGTCTTTTTGATGTCATAATTGTTTTTCAATAAACATTGTTTAACATCACTATCTGACACCTGATTGTCATTCAATAGTATTAAACTGATCCGTAAGGCTCTATCCCGGAGCTTATCATTGGATGGCTTGAGGTCGACCATTAGATTTTCAAAACATTTGCCCAACTGGACCATCGACAGTGTTGTTAACATATTCAGTATGCATTTGGTAGCCGAACCGGCCTTCAGACGGGTACTGCCGGTCAGAATTTCGGGACCCGTCGGTACAGCTATCACTAGATCGAGGTCGAGTCGGGACTGGATGTTCGGATTGAAACAAAGTAGACATGTATAGGCTTTATGATTGCGGGCCGCGTACAGTGCGCCCCAAACAAATGGTGTCCGACCACAGGCGGCAATACCTTTGTATTACATTAAAAAAAAGATCGGGTATTATATTACCGTAAGTTTATAATTAATATATTGCACTCAAAACACAAAACAAACAGACAAACCTATGACAACATCCTTATCGGTAATATGTTTATCATCGATAGCATTGATACCATCGATGATCGAGTCTTCGGCGCCTTCGACTGACGTATGTATAGCTTTGTTACCGCCGGCTATAATACCTATTTGTTTTTATATATAGAAGTTATGATTAAAATTAGTTAAAACTTAATGGTCCTTAAAAAAAGAAATACCTTGAACTAGATATGATGGACAGGAAAAAGTTGGCGGACATTCGCTGGCATCGAGTATACCTAACCGGCCACTAGTACCTGAGCCGACATAGAATAGTCGGCCATTATTTTTGAACGATTCGGTTATCCTATTGACTAACACTTCGATTGACTTAATTTGTTGGCCAATTGCCTGAAATTTTTCCGTCTCTTCGCTGATCATCAGTTCAATTGCATCCGCGACAGGCATTTCGTGCAAATTTCTGGATCTCTGGTTTCGCTGTTCGGTCAACGATAGCGATGTGGCCACCGGCAGAACCAATTGTTCCAACTGTTCTCTAGACATATGATTAACAACTGAATCACCGTTTTGTAGACCACTATCGCCAATGTCCTGATTAGTTGGACTAATCATTTTCAAGGCACCCATTACTGTATCTCTCAGCACTAGTACATCAATATTTTTGACATTTTGTTTCAGTTTTTGTAGTACTAGTTTGGAAAATATTTCACTCCGTGTCAATAGACTACCAGTAAATCCAATCTGAATGGACTCATTGGTGCTGTCATGGCTATGGCTGCTGACATTCCTCCTCAGCTGACTAGTCAGGCACTTGATATCGTTGACCAGATCGTCGACGGCCTGTTCGATAACCTGACGTGCAATACGATTGCCAATAGTAAACTGCCGGATGACTACATGAGCCAAGTCGGCCAATTCGGCCTTCGAGGCTACGATACTCCAGCCGACCAATTCGTAGACGGATTTCAGATTCAAATGTTTTAGTAAACAATTCAATAGTATATCCTTGTCTTCGTGAGCCTTATCTTGAGTGTCACCGTTAGTATCAGTAGTATCAGTGGAGTAGTGATTGTATTCAAAATCTTTTAAAGCCTCTCTCAATGCCATATGAGAGATAGCATATCCAGAACCCCTATCGCCTATATATATATATATATATATATATATATATATCAACAACAAAAAAATTTAATCAATAAAATTGTTTGTTTTGTTGGTATTTTTTTTAAAAAAGATCAACTGTCTCTCTGTCTCTCTCTCTCTCTCTCTCTCTCTCTCTCTCTCTCTCTCTCTCTCTCTCTCTCTCTCTCTCTCTATCTATCTATCTATCTCTCTCTAACCAATTATATGTCCGTGTCCTCCAATTTTGACCGTTTTGTGACCATTGTTTCCGTAACAACACGACCCAGTGCCCGATATGACTATACATTTGATAGCATATTTTGTGTCGTCAATACAGGCTATCAATGAAAACAAACATTTTTTTAAATAAAAAGTATTTGTTTGGTTGTCTAAATCAAAATTGAAAATTAAAAATAAATAAATAAAAACTAACCTAAAGCTGTGTCCGTATCGTTGCCGACCCAAACATGGCTTAGATTTGGCCAAACTTTGCTAACAACTCTGCTTAAAGCCTTTATTAATTTTGTTGTTCAAAAAAACAACAAAAAAACAAATATTGGTTTTGATTTGAGAAAACAAAAATCAAATTAATTAAATTATTTCATAATATATAGAAATTTCTAGAATGTAATCATCAATTACTGTATGTTTTTTTAAACATTAATTTTTACAGTATGTTTGAGTTACAGAATATTCTGTGTATTTTTGTTTTTGTTGTTTGATAGTCAACAACGACAACAAACAAATAGACAAACAAAAGGCTAACCTTTTTGTCGGGATCAGCTATAATGCCGGGCATTCCGATGGCAATCCTCTGGATGGTATAGCCAGCAGTGGTCGACTTGATCTCCTGGAGAAACGCTTCCAACTGTAATGGTTTTAATAGCTTATAGTTTGCGGCACCGAAATGAAATCGTTTCATCTGTTGTTTAGTTGTCTTATTGTCCGACTTTTTGTTATTGTTGTCTTCATTGGTGGTTTCATTTTCATCTACAAAGATGGCCACTGTATGTGTGGCACCGCATTCAATAGCTAATGACATAATTTATTTTTTCAATTGACTTTTTTTTTTGTTATTCAAAATTACAAAATATATCTATAAGTTTTGATGATTATTATTATAAAAATAAAATTTATATTAAATATATTCAATACATTCAATATAATAACTAATATAATAAAATTACAGTATATAATAATAACTTTTATTTTCAAATAATAATAATAATAACAATAAATAATTGTATATTTTATTATATGATAAACTAATAATAATAATAATAATTTTTGTTTAAACACATCAAAGTTTTATTTTTTATTTAATCAATAAAATTTATTAAAAAATAAAATAAAATATACTGTAATATCACGTATACGACGCTATTATCGCACATACATATCATATATACAGAGAGTTATTATTAAATTATAATATAAGTAATTCAACAAAAAAATTACTATACATTTTCAACCTTTCAATATATATATATATATATATATATATATATTGAATATACAATTTTCTCTCTCATTTAATCAACAAATATATATATAAATATAAATCTCATGGTTTCCAAGTGTTTTTTTGACGCAAGTCTTATACAAACAAATATCAATATAGATATATATATAAATGCTTTTACTTAAGTATATATATGAAAATACTTTATATATATATATATATTATTACTATCTTTTAAAATTTTATCGCATTTTACATTTGTATTTTCATTTTTGTGTTGTTGTTGTTGAGAGTTATAATTATATTAATTATATAAATATAATTATTGTATTTTTTTTGTGGATAAACTAAACTAACTTAGAAACAATTATTAATAAGTTTTATAAATAATTATTTTACTTTATTTGTTTGTTTGTTTAAATTGTATCTAAATAAATAAAATAATATATTATAAACATTTTAATTGTTTAAAAATTATTAAAATAAATTTATATATAATTAAATCTAAAAATATTAGTTCAATAATTTTTCAGTATTTAATATTTATTTTAGATATTATATAATTAATTTATGATAATTTACCGTACTCAAAATTTTATTTAAACATTGAACAAGTATATTTATTATTTATTTTTAATTAAGTAAATCTAGTTTTACAGTAAATGTATAAATATCATAGGACTTGTACTATCAATAATACAGTATATTACACTATTTACATATAAGTATATTATGTAACAGTATATTATATGATAAAATATAATATTTGAAAAATATATTAATAATAAAAAAATATTGTTGAAATAACTGTTAATAATATATATACTGTATAACAGCATTGTTATAAAGTACTGTAAAGTATTTAATTTGTAAAATAACTAAAATAAATAAATATGATTTTAATTTAATAATTAATTGATTTTTAATTAATTCAAACTGATAAAGAAAAATTTAATCAAATAAAAATTAAAGTTAATTTATTAATTATTTTTAAAAAATGTACTTGTAAATATTAAATAGTTACAAATAAAATATGACGTCAACTTGTTTTTAGTATTAATTGTGTAAAATTATTTCATCAGAAATTTTTATCAAATAAACAATTTTTTTTTTAATATTATAAGTATAAAAATTATTTTTATTAATCTGATATATATATACAGTATATATATATATATATATATATATATATATATATATATATATTTATACTTATAATTACATTACATTAATATATTTTTACACATAATTAAATTTGCACATTATATTGTGTTAAATAATGCTGATTAAATATTTGTTATTAAATCATATATTGTATGTATTATTGCAATAGTATATAAAATTATATTTAACTACTACTACTACTAGTAGTAGTAGTAGTAGTAGTAGTAGTAGTTGTGATCTTATGTAATAACAAAACAAACTGTAAATAGACAATGATTAAATAATTAAATAAAAATTTACAATAATACTAATAATATAAGCTTGACAACAAAACACATTACTAATAATTACATATAAAAAAGATAAAAATGTTTAAAAAACAATTAATTTATTAATTCAAATTAAATTTTTAATTAATCAAAAAAATAAATAATTGATTTGCTAAATGAGTATTTTTTCAAAAAATTAAGTAATAATAATATTAATACTGTAATAATATAAATAGGTGTTTATAGACTCTATACTAACAAAATTATAAATTATTTCAAATTATTTATGAAATTATTGATAAAATTATTTTTATTAATATTATTCACAAATCAATTGATTTTGTCAAAGATTATTGAGGGAGAAATTGACACTAAAGAGGTATGAATTGAATATAATATATAATATAAATAATTATTTACTTTAAGTGATTTTTGATAATATTTTTTTTGTTAATTAGATAATAATAATTATTATTATTAGTAGTAATAGTAGTGTATATTGTTGTATTAAGTTAACTATTAATTATTAAATCATTTTAAATGATAATTATTTTTATTAAAATTAAATTATTATTTAAATATTAATAAATAACTAAATAATATTTCGTTTGTAATTTTTATTTACTATTGAATTTTAACTGTTTATTACATATATTTTTTAAAATTAATTTATACAAGAATTGGATATTTTTGACAAAATTTTGTTTCATATCACAAAACGGTATCTTTGAATACAATATATCGTATCCAAAGGTAAGTCAAAATAAAAAAAAATAACTGAAATTATTATACTATTTATAAATAGTATTTAAAATTATTAAAAAATTATATTTTTTATATTTTATATATAAATTATTTCCTATATTTATGCTGTAATTTCATTTTTTTATACAAACAAACAAACAAAACAATATCTAATTATTTTATATGTCTATAGAGTTATGGACCGCAAAATATATTACTATATTTTGACTCCAAAACCCAGTGGCCAGAAGCTAATCAAACGGATAAAGTATTTACATATTATTAATATTTTTTTAAAAAAAAACAATTAATTATTTATTTAAATTTTATAACAATTATATATATATATATATTTAAGTTAGTTGTTGTTGTTGTTTAAAAAATATTTTTTTGACAATAAATATTTAATTTTTGTTGTTGTTTATATTGCTAGTCATGTGAGGATAAACATAGACTATTGGCTAACGACAACAATCAGATCATCCAATTGACCGAATACTCCAGCAAAGTTCGGGCCACTCACGCATCGGGATGTAAACTATATCGGGAACAGTACGACAACGGGACACTATGGTATCGGTGCGTACATTACCGCAAGTTTAGCACCACTAGGGAACGGTGGTGGTTCATAGCCATTGATAATTGTCAATCAACTAAGGTTATTTTTGTATTTTTTAGATAATATATAATTTTATTTTTAAATATTTATTTATCTAATAATTTTACTAATAATTATTATCAAAAAAATATTTATTTTTTTATAATTATTATTAGGGATTAAAATTACGATACAAAATTGAAATGACTAACAATTCTACTATTGATGACAGTAAATGCAAAAATGATATTTAAATTTATTGATTTAACTAACATATATATATATATATTCAATTAATAAATAAATATTATAATAATACTAATAATGATGAGAATTTAATATCAATATTTACACCAAATTAATGATAATTTTCAATATAAATATAAATACAGTATATATGATGTAATTTTTATTGTAATTTATTGTAAATAAATAAACTTTTTTAATGTTTTTAAATATATTAAATATAAATGGAATCCAGGGTGAATTTTTATAATATTTATTTATGTATTGATTATTTATTAACAGAAAATTATTGTTGAAATTATTTTTTTTCAAAAAATAAAATATAATATCTGAAAAATATTGAATATTCAGTAATATAAAAGCATTGTTGATAATAATAATATTATTAGTAATATTAATAGTATTATTAATAATAATAATAATCTATTTTTATTAATTCTATTACAATATAAATAAATAAAAATTAAAGTTAATATATTGAAAATTTTAATATACAATACATCTAAATATTAAATAATTACAAATATAATATAATATGACATAAATTTGTTTTTAGTATTAAATACTTGAAGAAAATTATTTCAATAGAATTTTTTTTTATCCTAATAAACAATTATTATATTATAAAAATCAACTAATTTTCATTAATTTGATACATATGTATATACAATATATATATATATATTATATTACTGTATTAGTTACATAATTTTTTGCACAAATATTTTAATTATTTTGATTAAATGATTGTTGATTGAGTGATACAGTATTATTACAATAGTAAAGTATAAATTACATATAATTAGTAGAACATAACTAATTGTATAACTAAATAAACAAAACAAAAATAAGTCAAATGATTAAATAAAAAAATCAAATTTTAATACAATTATATATATGTGATAAAAGTGATAAAATGTTTAAAACTTAATTAAATAAAGATTTACTAAATTATAAATATAATTTAAAATAATACTAAAAAATAATAATAATTAATAAAATAAATTAATTAAAAAAAATAATAATATAATAATAATAATAATAATAAATTGGTGTTTAGTTTCTAACTAACTTAAACAAAAAGTAATGAATTGTTTAAAGTTATTTAATAAATTATTGTTTATTAATTTGTTATTAATATTAAATCAATTGATTTTGTCAAAAACATTAAATCAAAATGTTTTTAATGGACAAATTGACACCAATGAAGTATGAATTAAATTTAATAAAATTATATAAAATATTAAAAATTAAAATTATTATTAATAATAATCAATTAATTTTTCTAATTATTTTTAAATGGTTCACAATATCATATAAGTATTTTTAAAAAATATTTTATTTTCACAATTAGATCATTTAATATATTATTATTATTTAAAATAATTAATTAATTAATCTATTTGTTTGTTTATAATTTATTTACCTTTTTTTCATTTTATGGTATATTATTATTTTATGTAAAAAATATATATTAATTAATTACAAGAATTGGTATTTTCTCAAAAAAGTTTGTCTATTATCTGAAGATATGGTCTTTCGATACGATATATGGTATCCAAAGTTAAGTTAAAAATATTAAAAATAATAATTTCAATTGAATTATAATTTTATTTTGTTTTTAAGTCATATTTTTAATTATAAGTTTAATTATAATTTTATATTCAATTTTGTGTATGTATTGTACTGTAATAGAGTTATGGACAGCAAAACATATTATTATATTTTGATGACAACTCCCAAACCCTTGGGCCAGAAGCTAATCAAACAGATATTTATAAATTTTGTTTTTTTAATAAAAATTATTATTATATTAATATTATATTTTTTAAAGTTAATTTATAATAAAATATTATTGTTTTTGTTATTAAACAAAACATAGTCATGTGAAACATAAGCTATTATTGGACAACAATAACAATTTGGTAATCAATTTGACCGAATACTCGGAATCGGCATTTCCGACGGCCAGTCAAGTCCTGCCAGCCGACAACATCGGCAACCAATGGTATCGATCCATATATATGCAAAAGTTTAGCATCAATAGGAAAGGATGGTGGTCAATTGCATTTGACAATTGTGAATCAACCAAGGTAATACATTATTTGATATAATTTAGATTATTATATAATATTTATTTTGTTGATAATAATAATTATAATTAAATAAGTTTTTTTTAAATTAGGGATTGCGATTGCAATATACTATTGGAATAACTAGCCAGGGTGAAAATAAATGCAAATAATAATGTCAAATGTTTGATTAATAAATTTAAAAAAAAAAAATTTTTAAAAGTAAATATAATAATAATGAGAAATTTATATTTTAATATTATATTTAGTAATTAATGATATATATACTGTATATGACGCATATATATATATATCTTTTTATTATAAAACATTAATCATATAATAAATTTACTAAACTAACAATTTTTAATGTCTTTTATATGATATTAAGTTATATATAAATTTTTATAAATGTAGACAATTTTTTTCATGCTATTAACCAAAATAATAATAATATAATGACTCATAACTTTTTAGTTGTTTTCACAATTTTAATAAAATTTACAGTAAGTTTTTGCTTACTTTTATGGTTGAAAACACTTATCAATCACTAAACTAGTGATAATGTGAACGATAGGCCATCGTTTCGCTGATACCACTGATCAGCTTGGTCACCACATATGCACTGGTATTTTTTAGCTACCAGTGCTGTAAGCGATGCGATACCCTGCCGACCTCCCGTATCGCTTACAGCACTGGTAGCTAAAAAATACCAGTGCATATGTGGTGACCAAGCTGATCAGTGGTATCAGCGAAACGATGGCCTATCGTTCACATTATCACTAGTTTAGTGATTGATAAGTGTTTTCAACCATAAAAGTAAGCAAAAACTTACTGTAAATTTTAATAATATAATGTATTTTTTGTGTCAAATTAAATGTATACATCAATATAAATAATAATAATAATAATAATTTATCTAAATATATTAGAAAATTTATAATGACTTTATTAAATATAATTGAAATTTTATTTATAGTTATATTATTATTATTATTATTATTATTATTATTATTATTATTATTATTATTATTATTACTGAAAATAAATACTAATAAAAATAAAGCAATATATAGTTTAATAATATTACTCGTAAAAAACAGACACTTGCTAAATAGCAAAACAAATATTAATATAATTTTATAATGTTTTTATTAGAAATTGCTGAAAAAATTATTTTTATTGTTCAATGAATCATTTAAACAAAACTATCATATAATATATATATATATATATATTAATATTATAAAACAATTATATGATTTATTTCAAAAGTACACTCAAAACATAAGAGTATATGAAATTCCGTCGAAATGTTTTTAATTGAAAACCAAATATTTTATTATTATTTATATGATATATATATATATATATATATACAATAATATATAAAATATTTATATTTTTGTTATGAATTTGCCTACAATTCTGGTCTCCATAACTACTGTTAAAAAATTATTATTATTAATAGAGAATTTGCTAATAAATATTCTCTCTCTCTCTCTCTCTCAATATTCATACATAATATCAATACTAATAATTTAATTTATTAATAATTTTGTTGTTGTATTTATCTAATATTATTATTATTATTATAATCGCCGTAATTACAAAACAATGTCCCTATTATTATTACTAATATTATTATATTTTGTTATACAAAAATATTTATAGTCAACTATGTATTATAATTATCAAAAGCTATCAATAATTTTGTTGTTTATAAAATTATTATTATTAAAACAATTGATTTTGGCTAAGCTTATTGAGGGCGAAATAGACACCAAAGAGGTATTAATATATATATATATCTATAATATTATTAATACAATATGATATACATACGTATGTCTAATTTTTTTTAATATATATATTAATATATAATTTTAATAATTATTGTCATAATATTTATATAAATATAATTTATATAAAATGAATCATATTTAAAAAAAAAAATAATTTCTTATATTATAATTTTTTTTATTATTAATTATTTAAAATTATATGAAATGTGTAATTGTGAATCAATTATTTTGTTTTTTTTTGTAAACTAATATAATATTGATATTATTTTTTTCAAACAAAAAAATATTAAACAAATAAAAAATACGCCAAGAATTGGATATTCCTCACGAGATTCTGTTTCCTATCTCAAGACGGAGTCTTTGAATACGATATCTCATATCCAAAGGTATCAACAAATCAACAAATTTACAATTAATTGATTTTAATATATAATTATAATTAAATTTGGGGAAAAATTTGAATTCATATATATCTATTAATTAATATAAATATAATTAATTTAATAGAGTTATGCACCGCAAAACATATTACTATATTTTGACTCCAAAAATCAGTGGCCAAAAATCTATAAGAAAGATAAAGTAATTTAAATAAATAATTAATTAAGTTTTTAATTGTTAATTATTACTAAATTATATACTAATTTGATATATATATATATATATTGTTTGCTCAACAATAATAATAGTCATGCATTGAGAAACATAGCCTATTGGACAACGACAACAATCAGATAATCAATTTGACCGAATACTCGACCAACTATCGGGCCACTCACGCTTCGGGATGTAAACTATATCGGGAACAGTACGACAACGGAACACTATGGTATCGGTGCATACATTTCCGAAAGTTTAACTCGTTTAGGGAACGTTGGTGGTTCATTGCCATTGATAATTGTCAATCAACCCAGGTATATTTTTTTATATTTATATTTATTTATTTATATATAAATTTTTTGATAATAATAATAATTAATTGATTATTACTGGCATACAATTTAATTAATTAATTAGGGATTACGATTGCGCTACAAGATTAATATGACCAACAAAGTTGATGATGGTTGGCTGAAAAATTTTTCAGCCGATGAATTTTGTAATTAAATATTAATTTTTATAATATTTTTTATATATATATAATTATTTAAATTCACAAATAATTAATTTGATTTTTAAAAAAAAAATTATTTATTGTTATCAATACAGATATACTGCATACGGATCTGATTTATACTGTATTATATTACGCCCTATTCATAGCCTCATGTTTTGAAGCCTGTATTTATTTATTTTATTTTTTGATACATATTTTTCAATAATAATAATAATTATTATTTATAGTCATAATAGTCATAAATATTTAATTAAATAAATTTTTCCTACAATTTTATTTTTAGATGCACTGGTTTCCAGACACTTGTATCACATAACGTATAAAATGTATTTAGTATCCGTATTAACAGGTATTTTATTTAATTAATTAAAAAAAAATTCTGGTATCTATTATATTAAACTAATATATATTTTTATGTAAATTTTTTTTTATAAATAATAATTAATTTATAATCATCTAGAATGCATTGGTATAACATTGTTATGTATTTATTATGGTATATATGCTCAAAAAGGCTATTCAGATAATGCATTGAAATTGTTTGGTAAATATAATTTTATTTTCTATTTTGTTTTACTTTAAAAAAAATTTTATTCCCAAAATAGTTAACTAATAGTTTTGTATTTCTAATTTATTATTTAATTTTTTTGTTGAAAAAAATACAACAATTTTTTGACGGACGGACAGGCCGTAGCTGTGAAGCCATATCGACAATAGTATTCCTGTTATTGTTGATACTATTGGCTAAAGGTTTTACAGTGACCCGGGCCCGGCTCAAGATGAGCACATCCATCAAAATCGGTGTCTTTATGACACTCTATATCATTACTTATGGCATACTATTCTTCTATGAACAGGCGGTAAGAATAATTGATATATTAAAAAAATAAATAACATTACAATCAAAAATATATGATTAACTAACTATTTAAAAAAACACAACTAAATTGTTTTGAAACAATATAATTATAATATACATATACTAAAATATATTTACATAATATAAAAACTTTTTTTTAGAAAATTTTTTTATTTATTAATTTATTATTATTATTTTTCTCTCAAATCTTTTAAGCAGTAGTTGTTTTGTTGTTATTTGTTTTTTTTTTAATTTAAACTTTTTTAAAAAAATGTATAACACTTTTGTGCAAATTATATATTTATATATTATATTATATAATACTAATGATTGTTATCTTTATTTGTTTTTTTTCTCTCTCTCTCTCTCTTTCTCTTTCTTATTATTAATGATTACCCACAACAACAACAACAATGACAACAATACCATTACCACCACCACAACCACTACCACCATCACCAACAACAACAACCACAACAACAATTGGTATGTTTGCTAATCATGCCAATCATCACCAGTACTTTGATCCGGGAGAAGTACTCTATCTGTATGAAAGTCCATTCGGTTATGGGCTCATTGCCCTTCGTCTGGTTGGTTGGGGTTGGTTTGTCTACGCCATTGTCTTCACACTAATACGTTATCCACAGAAATCTTCATTCTTCACGCGATTATTCCTAATGTATAGCGTCTGGTAAGTGGTCTCATGTCTGGATGTCTTGTCTCACAAACCTATTATTTCTTTATCTTATTCTTCTTCTTTCTTTCGTCTCTCTCTCTCTCTCTCTCTCTCTCTCTCTCTCTCTCTCTCTCTCTCTCTCTTCAAACTAATGGATAGATTTTTATTTTTTTAGTTTTGTTTTTAATTTCTTTTTCTTTTCTCTCTCTCTCTCTCTCTCTCTCTCTCTCTCTCTCTCTCTCTCTCTCACTGTGTCTATCAACAAAAAAAAACACTGAGAGTTCAACTATCTATTAAACTTTAAAAAATTTATTTATATATATATTCAAGTATTTTATTTGTAATTTTGTTATTTTGTTTTTATTTTATATTTTAATTTTCTTGTTGTTGTTGTCGGAGTAACTCTTCTGCAACAACTATTCTGGAGAAAAAAAAGACTAATAATAATAATAATGAAAATAAAAATTGTCTGAGAATTCATGTCTGACTTCTCTCTTTGTGTTCTTCTTTTTGTTTTGTTTCTGAAAGTGAGTTCACGACTGTCTGAGAGAGAGAGAGAGAGAGAGAGAGAGAGAGAGAGAGAGAGAGAGAGAGAGAGAGAGAGAGAGAGAGAGAGAGAGAGAGAGAGAGAGAGTAAAGAGTTTAGTATTTGTGAAAAAAATAATTTTTGTTTTTATTTTTTTTTCTGTCGGTTCCTGTTTTGTTTGTTTTTTTTATTGGGGAGTCGGTTGTTGTGTTGGTAGTAATAGTAGTAGTAGTAGTGGTAATATGTGGTAATATTGGCATTTAACTAGTGGTGGTGACCTTGTTGTTATGTTAGGCCAGTTGTGTTCTAACTGGGGGGTAGGGGTAGGGTATAGTAGGTAGGTCTATGGCAATCATATTATATATAATACCATTACATCCATAGATACAGTATATATCCATTGTCAGCAACAGTACATAATTATATCACTTTTCACTCTCTCAACAGGTTTTGCAACTCTTTTTTTTTTGTTTTTATTTTTTCATTTAAACAGTCTATACATTTAATCTCTCTCTCTCTCTCTCTCTCTCTCTCTCTCTCTCTCTCTCTCTCTCTCTCTCTCTGTTTCAATCTTAACTGACATCCGATTGAATATACAATAATTCTGTTGCCGAGCACTGTAAAAGAAAAATGAAAAATAAAAAATTATTTTTTTTCAAAAATTCATAATATATTTGAATATATAAGTTATATATAAGACAAAAATGGTATTAAAAAATAAGTAGAATTAATACACTATTTTTTGGAGAGACGCTAGACTCATAAATATTATTATTATTATTTTTATTATCAGTTAATATTCAAGAATCACTTAATATATATATATATATATATATATATATATATTATAATAAATTATTATATACTTACTGTATATTCATTTAAAAATGTATTTTTAAATATACTGTAAATATATTTATTACAATATATATGATAATATATAAATTTTTATATATATATAGCGTATATCTATCAATCGCAATGACCATATTTGGATTTATTATTATTATTTTTTATAGTTATATTAATTTTTAATTTTGAAAACTTAAACAATACAGATCTTATGCAAATTGATAAAAAAAACATAAATTTGAGATTAAATCTTAAAATTCAAATAATAAAACTTTTTATTCTACTATTTTTTTAATAATAATAATTATTATTTTGTTTGAATTAATTTGTTGAGAGAAACAGCTCTTCAATATACACTTCAGACAATTTCCTATATATATTAACATTAATGTAATTATTAATTTTTATATTTTTAATACTCAAATAATAGGTTTATCTCAGCACCGGTAGTCATACTGATATCGACATTTGTTGTACCGAAATGGATGCGCGAAAAGATAATAAATGCCGTTGAATTGCTCATCGCTATTGAGGCACACTTTATATTTTTTGTATGAAACAAATCTATATATATATATATATATATATATTTATTTAAATTGCTAATTGTTTTTTTTTGAAAAGTTGTTAATTAACAGCTAATTAATCATAATTTTCAACAACTATTGTATACTAATCTCTACCCTTCCTTTCTCTCTTTCTCTCTCTCTCTCTCTCTCTCTCTCTCTCTCTCTCTTTATTAGGTACTCACTCGACCCTCAGCTGCTAATCATAACTTTCCATTTCATGTGAGTGTGTTTTCGGGAGGGATTTCCTTATATATATATATATATACAATATATTATACAAACTATTATTTTTTGTTTGAAATGTTTAATATGTTTAATAAATAATATGATTTGTTGTTGTTAGGTAAGGACAACACAGATAGCGGTAATGGAAAAATCGGGTCAGACAGGTGACGGTACATTAGATCATTTCAATAATTACAAGTACGCTCCCACCCGACCCCAAACACAACAGTCCCATACAATATTTGCCATCACCACTGCCGCCAATGGATTGTCAACAGTTAATACTACTGATAATTATTCATTACATAATAATAATAATAATAATAATGCAAATAAATATGCAAACGGCAGTACTGGCCTACCAGTGGCTGATATGTAGGCCATAATATATATACAGTATATTATATGCTTTTTTACATTAATTAATAATTATACAGTAATAGTAATAATAATAATTTTTTTTAATTATTAAATTGTCATTTAGTTGTTTGTATTGTTTGATAATTAAACCAGAAAATCAACCAAACAAACAAATAAACAAAAAAAGTAATCATATGTTTTATTAATATACAGTTAAGATATATATATATATTTTTGATATGTATATAAAAATTTAAATAACTTAATTTGACAACTATATCATTGATGATTTAAGCAATGATTTAAGCAATAATACAAATACAGGTAACAATTAATCATTAATTAATCATAAAGCAGTCAAAATTCATTAATTATTTTTAAAAAATAAAGTAAAAATATAATCACTTTTTAAAATTTGATTTTATCTATTATTAAGTTTTTTTATATCATATATATTAATTATTATTATTATTATTATCATCAATGATTTATATAAATTTGTTCATCTAATGTTTAAACAGTAAATTGTTTAGTATATAAGTTATAAATATATATTGATTTTTCATAAAATATTTTTGTGTTGAATATTAAAAATTGAATAATTCAAATTTAGCAAATAAATTAAAACAAATAATGTTAAAAATATCTATATGTATTAATAGATAATTAAATCAATAAATTATAAAAAAAATAAATTAAAAACGTTTTATTATAAAATGGCCTATTTTATTATTATTACTATTATTATTAAAATAGATTAATTCATTAATATATTAAAAAAAATCATATTAGCATTACAAATTAGTCAATTGCTTGTATAATAGTAATTAACAAAACTTTATTATTGTTGGGTTACCTTTATTTTGTACTGTATTTTATCATAATTATTATCAAAAAAAAAATAATTATATACTGATATATATATAAACTTTATAAATAGCAAATTATATACTAAATACTAATAACTAGTGTATGTATGTATGTATGTATGTGTGTGTGTATGTATGTGTGTGTGTGTGTGTGTGTGTGTGTGTGTGTGTGTGTGTGTGTAAATAACCTGCAAACGACTATAGATAGAGGTTGGCATTGACAGTGACATCAATATATTTATATTTAAATCTAGAGAAGCCCTGAAGAGAGAGAGAGAGAGAGAGAGAGAGAGAGAGAGAGAGAGAGGCGAACCCTTTTCCTTTGAAAGGGTATGACATAACATAAGTTTTAAAAAAAAATATTATATATATAATAATACTAAAGAAAAAAAAATATGATGTGAAGTAACTAAACGAAACTCAAAACTATCATAATATATATACTGAAAAGTAGTCGTAATAATGATAATGCATATAAACATAATAGTTGTCGACATATACAGTATATACTGTGTATATATATATACTAAACAAAAATGTTTCAAATGTTGTGTGTGCACAGGCATTGCATAATTTTTTTGGGGAGAATTGTGGGGTACATGAGCTCCAAGAAGAGGCACCACTACTTGTAGTTGCGGTAACCCTTTACTTATAATGAGAGAGAGAGAGAGAGAGAGAGAGAGAGAGAGCAGACATACCATATTTTTATTTGACATGTAATACATAGTTATTATGAATGGGCTATAAAAATAATTACATTGCATTATAATACTGTATCCTCTTTTTTTGGTTATCTATTTATCTATCTATCTATATCTGTTTATATATCACTAAATATTTTTTTAAACATATGATATTTTGGGAATTAAAAAAAAATTATTCTCCAAGTCCTCATTAAATTGTCAATATTTTTAAATTGATTTTTTTTTGTTGAAAAAAATATAAAATCTATTTTACATAAATATTTTATTAATACTTAGTTATTAATAAAAAATTTTTGGAAAAATAAATTTTCAATAATTACCGAATATATTATTATATTCGATAATTGATGACATTATATAATTTTATTTTTATTATTAATGAAATTATAATTAAATATAATAAAAATTTTTGATTAATATAAAAAATGCAATGTTAAAATAATAATGTATTATAATAAATCTATAAATATATATATGTACATAAAATATTATAAATTTCAATTTCAATTTTTTTTTATATATATATTAATATTAAACCAAATCATAGGCCCCTTAAAAAAATATCATAGAATAGCAGCTCCAGTAGTGTGAATGACCTACTTTTCCCATTAAAAAAAAGGAGAGAAAATTTTTGTCGGGTCTAACCAATGACTCAACTCTCTCTCTCTCTCTCTCTCTCTCTCTCTCTCTCTCTCTCTCTCTCTCTCACTCACTCACTCACTCACTCACTCACTCACTCACTCACTCACTCACTCTCTCGTGAGCTATGAGTGAGTATCTGAACAATACTGGAAGGATCTGTACGTAAGATCAACAAACGGTAAGGCTTTTACACATTACATACATACACACGACTCATACATTTTCTAGTCCTTTCACTTCCCTTTTTTTCCATATGTATGTACTGTCTTTCAAATTGAAAGTGGCTTTAATCCATTGGTGACCCCCTTTTTTTGATATCGTGTCTCACACACTATACACTATATATATGTATATAACTCTTATATAACATCAATTTGCAATTCCCTACCAATTCATTCAATTCGCCCCAAATTTTATTTGTCGTTTCAAAAAACCGTATGTATGTATGTATTATAAAGGGTTCCCCCAAAATAAAAGGAGCCGTTTTTATATCAAACATAAGGTATATACTATAATATATGGTTTGAATTATGTGTAGATTTATGCCACTCACTGAACACAACACACACTTATTATCCCTTAAGAGTTTGCAACCCCTCTCTCTCACTCTCTTCTCTCTCTCAGTTTACCACTTCTTCCAGTGAACAGCCGTTATATAATAGATATATACAGAGAGAGAGAGAGAGAGAGAGAGAGAGAGAGAGAGAGAGAGAGAGAGAGATAGAAAGAGAGAGAGAGAGAGTGAGAGAGAGAGAGAGAGAGAGAGAGAGAGAGCAAGTGAGTAAAGTATGCTATACTGGGGGGACCGGGTGTTCAAACACAAGACTATAACCTTAAGATATAACCCATAGACAAGAAAAAAAGCTTTCAAAGCGGAATTTGGGTGACGTTTACACAGTGTGTATGTATAGATAGAGTAGTATAAAGAAAAAACTTTTTTAATATCAAAATCTATAGCTTTTTATATCAATATATATATACACACACACACATATATATATATATACTGTACATATATATATTGAAACCTAAATGACAATACAGATGAATGGTTTGCCCAATTTTTTTTTTGGCTGTGACCCTATCAATAATGGTTTCCTAATACAGTACAATATAGTTTGGTTTTTTATATTTAGACTATAAAATTGGTGACTGATTTACTGTATAGTTTATATATATATATCAATATATATATATATAGGCTACCGGAGCAATGAATCAATAGGGCTATGAATCTATGTCATTGCTGGCGCGCAGACATTGTTGTGTCTATAAATCATACAAAATATATTTGATATATAATGTTATATACTGTATATGATAGATGATAGACAACAATAAAAATATTTTTTAGACTAAATTTGTCTGAATTTTATTTTTTCATAAATTTTTAAATATTTTACTTATTATATCTGTATAATATAATTAATACTAAGTAATATAAAAATAACTACAAATTGATATTTAAAAAAAATTACAGTAATTTTCCAAACAATTTACAACTATATATTATATATGGAAAAGTAATAAAATTATAATACTTACAGTTTAATTAGTTAAACAACAAAATTTTGTTACAAATATCAACAAATTTGTTAGTTTAGTATTTTGATGGGTTTAATAATCATATTTTATTAATAAACTTTTAATTAAATGAAAAAAAAATATTTCATAAAATTCAAAAACTTTTTTTTTTGACAATAAATAAATATACAATAAATTCATAACAATTGATAATTATTATTATTATTGATAATTCAAAAACTATTTAATAACAATATATTTAATTAAATTATCAGTAAATATCACATATAAGTTGCTATAATTTAAAAATAAAAACTTTTTTTTAACCATCACTTGTAGTTGTATTTGTAGTGTATTTAAAAAAAAAGGATTGGTAGGTTGACTGATGGACTCACTGATGAACAGCATTTGATGGGCACAAACGGGTAGACCATCGTCTAAACCTTTGGTTGCCAAATATATAAAAAATTTAAGTCAATATATATATATATACCGTATATAAACTATTAATTGAATTTAGCAGCGCATGTGAACTGAATACGTGCTAATAATATACATATATATATTTACTACACGTCCCCAATAGGAATATTCCCATCAATGAATGAAATGCATGCAAAAAAAATAAACCCTACCATTCCATAGTTAACCGAAACATACCCTTCCCTACTACTACTACTAGTACTACTAATACTATTACATATAGTTTTGTTAAAGGTAGGTGCTTGTACTTTACTTTGGTGATTATTATTTTCATAGGATTATATATATATACAGTGCTAAACAGTGATATAATACTAGTACTGTACTATACTATCAGTTTTGTAGTCAGTTTCCATAATATTGAATTATTTACTGTATTTTTTTAAAGTATAGTTTAGTATTATTATTATTTTTATAAACTTTATTTAATAATAAATAATCAATTGAATTTTATTTTATTTATTTTTTTTAAATAAAAATAATATGATAACAGTTTATTAAAGAGATATTTCCCATTCATATAATGTTGTTATACTGTATAAATTATAATTTATAAAAAAAAATATTATTTGATACACCATTTAGCTATTAGTATTAATATTTATATTGTGCTATCAAAAATATTTAATATAATATAGATAGTTTATGTTAAAAGTTATGATAAATGTTTAATAAAAAATTAATAAATAAAATGCAATCAAATTTATAGTAATAAAACAGTTATTTTATTCATCAAATTAAATGTTAATAAAGTTACAAATATTTTTTTTTAAAAAATATGTATAGTACAGTATATT